CAAACGATGAATTTCAGCTGCAGATTTCTTGAGATGAAAGCAGAATAGTAATGCTTCTTGCAAATTCTCTTTTTTCGCACGAAACCTGACATCTTCAATACAATAAAAAATTGTGTTCTTTGCAAAATGATCTAATGTCACACATTAATTATTAAAGCCTATTGATAATACTTTCATATACATCACTTTCGGCCATGTTGAAATAGCACAACTACTATTCGCTATTAGTCAATAACGAGAATTAATTCAAATATCTAATATATAATATATATAACTGTAATTTTTTATTTCAAATATATTGCAATATCAATTGTTTTATTATATAAATAAAGTCAAAAGAATTTTGTGTAAAAATACGTTTCATATTAAAACAATTATATACATATACATATATATATATATATTTTTTTTTTTATTTATATATATTTTTTTATATTATTTTTTTTTTTTAATATTCTAAGAACATTTTTATAATATGTCAAGAATTATGTGAAGTGGACATAAAATATTAGTAGAACATTCCCATAATATTAAAAATTATTACATAACATTCTTAGAATATTATAAGAATATCATTTTAATATTGAATAATATTCATATAATATAATATTCTACAAATATTATGCGCTTATAAGGTACAGTTGTGGACAGAAATTGTCTCATTTCATAGGCATAGAGATATCGGAAATTTCGAACTAGATGCATTAATGACATAATGACCACTGCTTTGGAGCATACTTGCTAGTTCACAAAATAATCAGCAGTCACAAATCAGCAATGCACAAATATTCAGAAATGATATTCCAAATTCGACAATTCCGATGTCACTATGCCTAAGGAATGGGACAACTTTTCTGTCTACGACTGTATGCAGCTCGCATATGTTGCAGTATGCGATAGTACATCTGACGCCACTGCGGAAGCACGTGAGAAGTCGGTTAATGAGATACCATTCACCGCGATTATTCGTCTTATCTTTGTAGTACCCGGCCGTGTACGCGTGTGAACGTTTGCGTAGGAATCTGGGTTCGCCTTGGGACGCGATCACGATCAAATCAGTTGCATCGACATTTGGTGCCGCGTAAAAAGCACAGTGAACAATATGAGTATGTTTATTGAATTACTTGAAACGCAGCTCTAACCCTTAATTCATCCCCGTATGCTCATTCTAATCGCATATCATGACGATTGAATCAGTTTGCCAAATGATGTTTTCCCGGAGAGCGACTCTAGTTGCACAAAATTATCTGAAATTCGAAATTCATATATGATTGCGCCGAGAATGAAAAAAAAACACAATCGCTAATGGACACGCGTATCTTTCGGTAAAACTTGCATATTTCGCGGGTCATTTCGTTCTTCCTCGCTGCTCGACACCGGTGCGATCGCCGAATCGTTAATAATGTGCAAAATAATTATTTATTCACATACGGTCGCAGTGCGTCGCCGCGCTGCACCGTAAATATTGCATTTCCTCGCGGCGACTATTACGGCGCAATAAATGGCGGTATCCCGATCACTCGATAAATTATGTTTGCGATGTACCCTAACAGCGTCATAATTAGCGTCATACCAATTTACACGTAAACAATTATTACGGCGGCGCGTAACTCGACAGACAGTCGAGGATCTCTGCTGCCGGAGCGCTTTTGCGGGCCCGCGCAAATATTGCGATGCTGACCGGTGTATGTAATGCATAGCGCATATTTAGCCGCAATTCTCATTTTCTGTGGAGTCCAATGCCGAAGCCCGGCGCGTCTCTTTCGGCTCCCTCGGCCCTCGCCAGACGGGTTTTTGTTTGTTTGCTTTCTTTTTTACCGCCGGCCCTATTTTTAGGTCTACCGCCCGATGTGCTCCGAAAACAGGTACGAGGTTCTTTCGTCTCTACCCTCTCTCTTTTCCGCTCCTCCTTTTTTTTTTAATAGACAGATAGGGCCCGATATTGTGTCTGTTTCGTGCGTTATACACTTTGGTCTAGCATTCTTAGCTCTCTGAAAGTTTGTGCTTCGTAGCCTCCGAGCATACCGTTATTTTAAAAGATATATCTGCATCTACAGCAAGCGAAATGACTTTATAATCGCTTTTCCGAGATTGCGAATTCGTATATATTCAACGCGAGCTTCTATCATTAGAGATATCTGGGAAACATATCAAACCGATTATGTCATAAATATTTAACAGTTTATTAAATCTTTTTTTTCAATAGCACGCAAGCGGAAGTTTAAATGTTAATGTGACACGAGTTTCGGATTCTTGCGTTTCCGCTTATAATTCTGTTTTCATCTAAGCAAAAACTTGAAGATAAGATATACTTGAAGCCCGGAGAAGCCTCTTACTATTTACCGGACTATCATTTCGAAAGGATCGTTCTTTCTACACGCTTGGAGGTAAGTGCGTAATGCTGCAAAACCATGCGGCGTTGATGACGAACATCCCGTAGACGATAGCATAGTCTTGTGTGTGAACAATCGATATGTGAAACAATTGTTCTTGGCATCGTGATAAAAAAAAAGTAGACAGAGAGAAGTAGAAAGAGAGAAGGAGGAAGGAGAAAAAGAAGAAGAGAGAACGAGAGCTGTATCGCGTTACATTCGCGCGATTACTACGTGATAGCGAGGAAATCTATACACTGAGAAATCCATTTAGTTGAATCAACTAAATTCTTGTTTGACTATGGGCAAACAAATTTTTTGACTATAAGAACTAAGGTTTAGTTCTCCGAATCAAAGGTTTGGTTCTTTGCAACCTCCGAAACTTCCGAGAACCAAACCTTTCGTTCAGAGAACTAAACCTTATAATGAAAAAATTTGCTTGCTCAGTCAAACAAGAATTTAGTTGATTCAATTAAATGAGTTCTCAGTGTACGAGCTCATTTTTTGCGTAATGTTTCCAATAATATCTTTGAGATACAGGGTGCGGCGAAAGGTATGTCCTCATTTTGGAGAGCAAATCAATAAAATACTATTAAATGTAGAGGATTGGAAATTTTTTTATTACCTTTAGTACTTCAAACAGTTTTTTTACATTAACGTTTAAAAACGATATCTGCAAGATGGCGGCCTCCAGTAGCAATGCACTGATGTAGCCGATTTTGGAAGCTTCGGGCTGCGTTTTGGCACATCTGAATCGGAATGGCGTTCACACCTCTTCGATGATTCTCCTTTTCAGTTCTTGTAGGGTATGGGGACGATGCTTGAAGACTCATGGAATTGCCTTGGGTTGGTGTCAGCCCAGTACCGAAAGTTCTGCTTGTTAACATCACCAGAGAGGTGGAAATGGGCCTCGTCAGTGCTCCAGAAAGTTGACGTTGCAGGGATTCGGTTGAGCATTTCTTGACAAAGATTGACACGGTTTACAAAATCATCGTGTTTCAGTTCTTGCACAAGCATGATCTTGTACGGGTGGAAAAACAATTCTTCGTGCAAAATTCTCCGGACAGAACGATCCGACAAACCCAGTGCAACTGCATGCCTCCGAGCAGAGCGCCTAGGCGAACGTTCCACTGATACCCTCACTAACTGCACGTTCTCTGGTGTTGTTGCAGTTCTGGGTCTTCCAACTGCATGAGTTCTTACTGTGGATCCGGTTTCTTCCAATGAAGAAACCCAACGTTTGATTGTTTTTCCATCAGGTACGGAAACATGGCGCGGAATATGGAATCGCAAGCGCATTGCTCTCTGCGTCGCAATGACTGAACGGCCATTTTCCAAAAAAGAGCGCACAGCGAATCCACGATGTTCTCCAGTCCAAATCATGATGTTAACTGAAAACGGTTGAGAACAACCTTCCTAATGAGACCCTGCCCAACAACCTACTCACGCCATCTGGTGAGCAACGGATTTTTCAAACTCGGGCAAACCTTTCGCCGCACCCTGTACTTCACGAATTAATTCATTATTGATGTTACGTAATTTGACATGTCTATATATCGTGCAATGTCCGCGAGAATATTCGGACGTTCATTTATCGCGTAAGATAACATTTGTGCCTATCGCTGTTAGTCGATGCAAATTGCACGATTAAAACGATTTTTTAGAAGGATGCGTTGATAGTAAAAGTTATTTCCGGACGACGGACGCTTAATGCTTCATTTCATTACAACTCGCATTGCGCTTCATCGCTGCGCTCTAATACGCGTCGATAAATCACGCGCCGGGCGATGGATTTAAATGCTAAATCATCGCTAATGAAAACCAGCCTGTCAATGGAAATCGCTTTCGTTGTCATAGCGCCTACGGGTGAGGTCAACCGATCGACCTCACCGGCGATTATTCATGATTGTTTGGTAAGTAGATCAAGCGACCATTCCTCGGCGTGTTGTCTTCCCGTGGCGTGTTGTCTTCCCCGTGAAATTGGATAGTCGTCCGGCTCATTAGATAAGTTTGAGAAACCGACGCGCCGCTAGTCGAGCTAGCTTTAAGACCACGATCGCTATAAGTTATTTGTTTTATCGCGCTCAACGTTCTGATCTATTTATAGTTTAAACGAGATAAATTGATACCGCGGTGCAAAGAGCGGTGTCCAGTGCGCGGCTCAATCGGAATGTAGAATTCGCCAACCCTTTTCTCGCGCTAATTCCCAATTTTCCGCGCGATTCCGCGCACATATCCGCGTACATCCGAAAACCCCAGCGATTTNCCCCCCCCCTCTCGCTCTCTCTCTTTTCTCGAGAATAATCACATTATCGTCGCGGGATCAATGTGAAATTTTCGCATGTGCACATTTTCGTCAGGTACGTTCCACGTGTTTCTTCCGCCGGCGTGGTACCTTCGGTCAGCGATTAACGTAACCGGCGAGACTGGCGCTCGTGGAATCATTTCCTTTCCGTTTTCGAAAACTTCCGCGACATTTCGCGTTGCGATGTTGCGTCGATCAATCGATCGGCCACCGGATCGAGATATGATTCATAAGCGCGCGCGATCGCACACGCTCGCACGCTCGCGTGTATCGGCTTATGCATCACGCACACCACATAGACGAGACAGTGTGTAGCACCTCGAAGGTCCACGTGGTCATGGATCACAGTGGTGGCAACAGTCGTGCCTCGTCGTTCAAGTGTGCAAGAACGCCGGTCTTCATCATCTCCGCTGGCCGTTGTCGGGAGAGGAGAGCAGTCGCGAAAAAACGCGAAATAAGAAGAAGTAAAGGGGAAGGAGAAGGAAGAAGAAGAAGCGGACAAGCAGAAGAAGAAGAGGGCAAGCCGGGACAAGCTCGCTTTCGTTTGCTGATTTCGCGCGCTGACCGCAATCGGCGATTCCCCGCTCACATAGAGCACACGTCTCGAGCGTGTGCTGACCGCGAATTCGTTCTTCGGTGCACTATCTTCGAGGTGCGCGATGTGCGGGAGAGTCTGCGAGGACCACGGAATCGATCGCTGATCTTTGTGCGACTCGTACTGTTGCGTCTCTACCGCGGCGTCGCGATTTCCGCGCGTTTCGACAAAGCCGACGCGCTTGGTTCGACTTCGCATATAAACTTTATCTGCGGCCACGAGAAAGGTCGGAGTGTATCAGTCGTGACAAGTTTGTGAGTATGATCGAGTCATAAGCTGAGGTTGTAAGCCTCTATTGATCTCGCGCATGTCGCGAGATAAGCGGAATGACAGATAAAAGAGATAATTATTGACGTTTGTATGCACGGACGCGGTGATTTGTTGTCTCTCTGAGACATCTCATGAGATACGCAATTATCCGTCGGGATAAATTAATATTTTGTCTCATTCTGTATAGTTATGGTCAATACTGCTTTTTTCCTCTTACGTGAACGATAAATATACGAGCGCTCATAGTGTTTACAGTTGCGATCTCGATAGTTGAGATAATACATTCGCTCGCTCAAGATTTCTTCATATAGTGTTTTATTATTATGTTACGTTGTTTTAATGTATCCGGCTATAAACAGTGCAAGAATATATGCTATTTCCAAGAATAATAAGGAATACAGGTTTTTACGATCATAATCAATCGGCAATAGAATCGCTTTGGAAGGCTGAAACGTGATCGGATCTCTGAAAAACTTTATATTTCCCAAGACGAGGCAAGAAGATGTATCTCGCTTATTTGTCGGTCAATCGGTCATATGGATTAATCGTTGCGCGTCACTGAGGAATCCTCCGATTCAATAACGCGGGTATCCACAGCTGCAGTCGTCGTTTCTAACGATTCTCCCTTCGAAATGTTTCCGAAGGGCCTAACATAATCTACGCACTGTACATTCCTATCGCCCGCCTCTTTGTTCTCCCTCGGAAACCAGTAAGAAGGGTTAGTCCCCTCGCTGAGTAGGTATACAACTCTCAAATTCCTCCCTTCATCGGACTTCCTCGCGTCTTCACGACGGGCGGCCAGAATGAATGATAAAGAACGCGGCCGGCGCGTTTTACGGCGAGTCGCTACGCGTTGGAAATTCCAGCATCTCTGTCCAAACTCGACCCGCCGTCGTGAGACGATCTTGGGAAACTTGCTCGACCAGCTGCCGGGGCTGCTGCTGCGATCTCGCGCCGAGGTTTCTGAGAAAAGCGAAATGATGCGCTTCTCCGTCGTCATTTGACGCGGTCTCCGCGCGGCCCTGAACTTCCCACCTGGTGTGGCTTTCGCCATTCACGCGTTGTATACGATGCAACAGAACTCGACTCATACCTGAATTCGCACCTGTTAAGTGTGTGCATGTGTGTGTGTGTGTGTGCGTCCGTACACCACTCACACGACGGTATCGCAATGGACTATCAATGACACCTCGAGTACTCATTCATTCTTACCCATGTGCGGTCCTCGCTAGACTATTTTCTTATTTAATTTCTAAATTGATTGATGTCGCCACGCACTCGTCGCCCTCTCTCTCTCTCTCCCTTTTTCTCTCTCTCTCTTTTATTCTTTTTCTCGCTCGAGTTATCTAACTTGCATTTTTCTCGACGATCTTTAATCCTTGTTCCTTTGCTCCGGCGTACTCACAGGAGATTCTGTTCAAGTGTTTGTCGTGTTCCGTACCTTCATTATTCATTCCTTGATTTCGCATCTCTCGTGTTTATCAAGAGATTCATTCTTTCCGCGCTCTCAAGAGATAAATCTCGAGTTGCTAAAAGAAAGAGAACATACAGTTTGTTTTATAGCGTCTGTGTCATGCGCGTATGTTTAAACTTTGATGGCGAATATTCGCGAACATGGACTGTTGTTTATACGTTCCTGAAGGATTTCATTTCGAATCACTTCTTGATACGATCAATTCTCACGACTGCTTCATTTGCAATCCTACAATCTTATAAACTTATGGATATTACATTTTTTATTTTGTAGCAAACGGTTTATAGCACACGGAAGCATGATTTGACATTATTTTACGCGGATCGTATTTAAATTTTTTAACTTACAACCGTAATTACATAATTCATACCGCATACGTAAGTTCGTACACAGAAAAAGTATTATTGAATATTCCTAATACTTTTTTTCCAGAAAATATATTGCTTAACCTGTTAAGCGAACATAAATGTTTTGTAATCTTACGAAGATGTAAAATTTATCGCAATTGGCGACGATTTAACAAGTAATAAATAAGTTCTAAATACGCTCTCGGTAGCGATGTACATGGTTTTAGCATCGTCGAAACTTATGCAAAAGCATAGATATTGCATTTAAAATCGCTCGGTCCTTGTTTGTTACGACCAATCGTGTTGTAATCCCCCTCATGTTTGCGTAATTCCTCTGGATGTGTTATTTGCAATTTATATGCATTTGCGTGAATGCAAAATTTCGCACGAGATCTTCCAAAAATAAAACCTTATATCTCGAGGGTTATGGCGTTGAAATTCACCTGAAAATGAGAGGTGTTAATTAATTGTCTACTTGTCGATAACGTCGTAAAAATGGCAACGGAACAGGCTTACTTACGATTGTATTGCTATATACGATGTCGGCGGCCTTGAATTCTGAACTTTGGGCTCGAAACTTATGTATCTTCGACAGTACTTTGAGTACACATGTACTTATAACTGACAATGTTTGAACAATCTAATGGTCTACCAAAATGAAAACTACGGCAATTTTTCTCTTCAAGAGAGAGAAAGAGAAAGAGAGAGAGAGAGAGAGAAAGAGAGAGAGAGAGAGAGAGAAAGAGAGAGATAGAGAATCATTTCGACATGTCAAAATTAAAACTGACATTTCCATTGCGATTGATTCTTGTTCTTTTTCATGAAATATAAAGCCTATTTCAATTTAAAGAAGCGTACACTTCTTCTAACAGAAAGATGATATTCATGTTTATATACAGATTCAACGTTTATATAATTTCGTTACAAGGCAGTCCATCATTCGTCAATAAGTCGGTAGCTTATGAAACATACATAGATTTTCTTGCGTCGTGTTTCGCAACTGTGTCGCGACGGTGGTCATTGTCATGTATAATAATTACGTGCCAACGACACCGGCATATTCGGACATTGCACGTCGTGCCTCACATATTGATAAACGGGCCCCGGGGATTTTCACCTGGAAAACGCGAGAAGAAACGAATAACGATGCACCGTGAGCTTCGTGACGAAGCTCATTGTCGCGATTTCACTCGTTCTTGTTTAATTTTACAGGAAAATTATTTCTGAATTAATCGTAATTACGGGCGCGCGTGTCGTTTCGGAGGTCTCGCGACCTCGTTAGTACAATAAATTATCATCACCATTTGTTAGTTGTTTAATTTCATCAATTTTGTAATTGTTACGCGTCGCACAATGGAAACAACACGCGAGAAAAATATTAGTGAAGATATTATTCTCCATCGAGGCAGTGTCGGTACATAAAAAACAACAACAAAAAAACGAAACAAGAAAGAAAAGAAGAAACGCGCACTTAATGATTCTTCCGCATTCAATCTTCTTAAGTTTTTTGCGCTTGTGCATAAAGAGATAAACCGCATTGGTTTTCCCGTTTGAGTTGTTTTCCCGTCAGGGCCAAATATTTATATATAGACTGAATTTACCCGAACGCGTGTAAAAGTAGACATCGTCAAGTCCACGCGTGAACGCGGCGATTGTTACCGGGTGCTTTCGGACAATACGGCCATAGCCACGACTCGCATAACTGCACACCGATCCAGTGAAAGTACACGTTGTTCGCGGAGTGTTAATAAACGAAGCTCTCTGGGCGTGCAGGCCGGAATGCCACCTTTTTTGTTCGACTTTCCGCGCAACCAGAAGTCCGGTCCCGCCGGCGACGTGAACGATAAATAACGGGCTCGTAATTCATGGTCATCGAATAAAATTCGGAAGAAGTTTGATCTGACAGTTACCGCGACGATCTTTTCAGCGGTCGACGACGATCATGCTAATTAATATTTATTTACCAACGTCCGGAGGCGCGTTAATTGCCGAATTGCTAATTGAAGAATGATGGAATTTGCAGTTTCCGCTGTGATTCGTATTCAAGTTACTAATTCTTTTTCAAATAGAAAAATACATTTAGTCGACAAGACACGATTCTTACACGTTATAACACGTAAAGTAATTATAACGCAAATAATAATAATATGATTGCAAGCGCGTCAGAAATAATTCAGATAAATTCTCTCGGCGGTGATCCCCTTCTAAGTGAACTTCGATGAGCTCGAGATCGACTTTCGAAAGTTTTAATGAGATTGGTTACAATTGGTTACACTTTTACGAACTTTTACTCACCACTTTGCTCTTTACATAGAAGAGACTCACTTTTTAACGCGCTATAGGACACGATTACGGGAAGCAGACTGATTCGCGTGCAGGAAGCGCGCGATTTCCGGAGCAACGGACAGCGTTATTTGGATTTTATTGATTATGTATGTTCGTCGAGTTCTCTCGTTCGACCATCGGATCTTGCCGCGAAGCGGTCTCTCGCGAAATGTGGTTTTTCCACGTTTGTGTTCCATTAGCAGTAAAATATTATTACTAGCCGTATTCACGTGGAGGACTTGGCGTCGCCAAGTAGATATCCAGGACGATGACGCGCTTATATTTCGGTGTACCAATCGCGTTACATCCACGTAGAAGTCTTCGTAAGTGCAGTCACGTTGTCTACAATTATGCTAATGACAGACTCTCATCGCCGAGAGAGGATTTCCAAATCAATAATTACTACGAGTCTTCGTTATCTCACGAGACTCGTGTAATTGTATACAAACGACCGGTCATCATGTATTCTTCTAGAAATCAAGGTGGCCAACTATGAATGCTGATTAATTTGGAGGTCAAACGTTCAGGAAGCGAGCAAGTCTTTGAATGAAATTACGTTGTCAGATCGAATTTTCTGCAGTAGCTGAAACCACGCTATTATATCAACATTTCTATAGCTCTATGCCGAGCCACTTTAGTTTCGATCAACGCGTTTACGTAGGATATTTAATTATACGGCTTTTTTTAATAACGAGCAATAAATAGACACGTATTCACACATATGCCTCTCGGCTCACCTATATTCTATACTAATATTCTATACAGTTATAATTTGCCTCGGAAGAAGAATATTGACGCAGAACCTTTATTTCTGACGCACGCTTTATCCTTGCACGAGAATCGCGCTGCCCGGTTCACTGCTCCATATCTCCGTAATGCATCCTGTCGATGCAGCACGCGACAAGACAGTACGCATTTCCGGTTGCAGCTGCATCGACGGACACGCAAATTAGTCACGCTGTTGTGTTTGCTTTGGGTCTCGCGAGGCAAGCATTTTATTTTTGATATCGGCCGATAAGTAAGAATTTCTCCCGGTACAGCATATTTACACCGGATGTTTATCTCCGAGACACACATGCGTGCGCGAATTTCGCCCTCGTGTCCGCGCGAAGAATCGCACGACACGTTGCATTCCTCCGAAGTGGCGCTCGATCGATATTATCGACGAATCGAAACAATACAACATCGAATTTCCGCCGAGATTACACATGTTAGCGGCGTTTATGGAAAACTATCAATTACGCGCATTTTAAATACCGTTTGGTAACTGTCATTTATAGATTGTAGAGTCTGCGAATTGTACGGTGTCTCATGAAATCTTTTGGATTTTGGTCCTTCAGTGCATGTGCACTGAATGAAAATTATAACTTGAATCGTAGCTGTCGGTGCGCGTGTACCGAGAACAAAACGGTTAAAATTTAACTCATGGACTTACACGTAATTTATGTAGATTCGAATTCGTTTCAAAATGTTATCACAATCGCAACAAACATTCTTGTTTTTTTTACATAATTGAGTTTTTGCCACGCATAATCTCATATACGCTTTCAATAAATTATCAATATCGGCACTATAAAGCTCGATTTGCATAAATTCTTTTAACAACTATCTAGATATATAAGGTTTATAACAATTCTTACATGCAACGTCGAGAACGGGATATCCAAAAATCACGTCTCTTCCACTAAATTATAGACATAATATACATACGTGCGTGTTTTATTTTTATTTTCGTTATTGTATGAAACATTTTTATGAATTTCTTTGTATCGCATCTTTCGCGAGTTTCAAGTAAACTACCTCCCCTCTACTGCTTTCTCGTGTCTATTCCAAGTAATATTAAGCATACCGGCTCTGTTCGCCAGCGCAAAATCATCTCGCATCTTTTAGGAGGAATTTGTGATATAGCATCGTGCTTGATATCTGGTTAATGTTAAAAAGAGATGCTGGCTTTCCGAAAGTTCAACGCGTTAAATCCGTATTAAAACATAAAGATCCGCACAGTTAATCGTTCTCGAGTCGTACTTATATACAAACTTATAAAACAAACTATACGTCTACAATGAACAATTTTGTGTTAAAAACTGTCCGCTGCAATTTGGTGTTATTTTAATACAGAGGATATATTAAAAAAAAAAGTACACAAATATATAATGTTAAATTAAAACATTCATCTTATATTAAAGTAACAGAATTTCAGTGGGCCGTTAACATAAAATTGTTTGTTGTTTAATGTGTTTATATGTATTCATTACTAGTAAATTATCAAAGTCCAATGCGCGTCATCAGATCAATTGAATTCGCGTCACAAATATGTTATAAAAACGCAGTATAAAAAGTACATATATAATCTATCAGAGTCCTTGTTGGTACTGTAGACTTCAATATTATTTTACAATAACGCTGAATCATCTCGGAACGAGTTCGTTAATTTATCTGAAGAACGTGCAAATCTACTTGACAATCTTTCCACTTCGTTTAGATTGCGGCCACAAATTTTTCCACCTGGATCGCGATTTGCTAGCTTCTTTTTCTCTGTGTCGTATTAAAATTATTTAATCGTCAGCGCAATACTTTTGTTCCGCGATATAATAATAAAGATAAAAGAAGACAGCAAAAATTTCAAATTTTCATTTTGACATAAATGGATATGAAAGATACAAAATATCTTCGTTGAATTTTCATTGTCTATAATGCGTCACAGCTGCGGCGCGTTTTGAGTTCGTCAATAGTTTTTGTATTGCTCGACTTCACTAATATTCTTCTGTTCGCGATAGAACCTTAGAATGTCGTTCATCGCATTAGGCTCGAGAGTGAATTCGTAATGAAAGTGGATTCGCCGGTATGTAAGGCTCGCGCGTAATTGTACCCGTCTGACATTACGGGATACGTAAGACACGAGCGCCAGAACAGTGAGAAATTTTCAGCTGTTTCTTCATGCCGCGATAAAATTTTCTGATAGGCCACCACTCACCGGCAGCATTTTTCCGAGTGCACTCAGTTCAAGTGGATTCCACACGTTTCGAGTATTCTAGACGGAAAAATATACGGCCGCACGCGAGCTCGCGAAACTTTCCATTGTACCTCGCAGGAACGCACGGAGATTTTCGGTACAGCTTTATTTTCGATTTCTTTCCTTTTTTCAAACAGAATCTTGGCTCGTAGAGACTCGCCATGCGTGTCTGCGCAATTAATGCGCGTTGCCGCAATATTAGATGACCTTTCTACGTAACGTTACATCAGCTAAACTTTAATGTATCAAGATAGGAGCTCGGCCATAAGATATAATAGCAAAATCCACAATTAATTTAATAAGCGAAAATGCACACGAGCCTGAAACATTGTTGATTAGTTTATTCGTGCATATATTAACATACCTGTTTATAAATATATTCCAAAACGATCGACTCAGTCGACTTCGATCTTCAAATATTTCTTGTTATGTTACTAATTCGTCGAGATCCAACATATTACAGTGTCGATTAAAATGCACACAGTGAATTCACGTGGACGTATCAGTATCGGAATGTCACGGTGACAGAGTCAATAGGACGATCGTGCTGGTTAACGAAACAGCATCTAAATTTCCGGATTCGATGAAACGAAATGATATAAAGAAAGATTACGAGATACATTACATAACAATTGTATTTATCGACTTCGCTAAAAAACTGTTGACCACTTCTCCTATAAGGAAAATAGCGAATTACATCTCTAACCTGCTGAATATTTTTTGGAAACTTTTGCAGCGTCGTGCAGTTCACGACTGTCCTCGCGAAGATGTGGGTCGATCAGCTTGGACTTCTTCTTTGGAAGAATTACATCGTGCGGAAACGACAGCCGGTGAGTCAACGTAACGTAATCTGACGAGATGTTTGAACGGATTTTCGTAAATTCTATAGTTGATATCTCGTTTTAGGGAATTCTGGCGTTGGTCTTTCTCTGGCCAGTAGCTGTCTTCATGCTTCTCTACACGCTGCGCGATAACGTCGAGCCAGAATATTATCCAACGTGTCAATTTCCCGCAAGGTCAATGCCGCAAGATGGACTTCTGCCTTTCGTACAGACTTACATATGCAGCGTCGGTAATCCTTGCGATCCGCTGTCGGAGTACGAGGAAATGCCTTCGTACAAGAATGCCACGTGAGTCTCGCGACAACCAGATTACCGGGTCGTTACGTTTCGCTTTTCTTGCGTTTCTTATTAGGCGAATTACCGCGTTAATCGCGAAACCGTTAAGGTCGCCGATGTGTTCATGATTTATTCTTTCGTTTTCTCCTCGAAACCAACAGTTTAGGCTCTTTAGTGGTGGAACTGCAGCCGATGCTTAATAACATGACAATTATCTCCGCCGTGGAGACGTTGCCACAGAGTATTCAGCTGTTAAAGTCGATGGCGCAGATTCTCACCAAGCCAGAAATCAAGGCGTTTTTCGGTAAGACTGTATGACGGGATATACATTTTGTCTCAAGGTCTAATTTGATATTTCGAAAATCGAATATATGAATATGTTGATACAGACCGTGGGATCTTTTTGGGCGACCTGTTCAATAATCATGAGCAAATTAAGGATCTGTTGAAATCACAATTGCCAGGAGCGAGGGAAGGATTGGTTGATGGTTTGTTCGAGTCATCCGTCAAATTAATATATGTCAGTATTATCTTAGCCATTACGCGTTATTTTTGCGATATTGCGATAAAGAGAGGATGGCTCGCTCATCGATTTCTGTTACAGTTGATTCAAACTTTCGGCTCGTCTAACATCGAAGGCGTCGTCTGCTCAGCGGAGAGCTTGAAGAAATATTTGATTGTGCCTAAAGAAGAGGATTATGAGGAAATCTCGAATCTCCTGTGCAACATCGACTCGAAGGCGATCCCTGATATTCTGGAGAACCTCACGAAACATCTGGATTTCTCCGGTCTATTGGAGATGGTGGACCGCGCAATGGCGAAATTTCGCCATTATAGCTTCTTTCAGGATCTGAAGCGGACGACGGAAGTCATTCTGGATCTGAAAACGACCAAGAAATACGCACCCAAGTACCTGAAGCTGCACGAGTGGCTACCGAAGATAATTTTGGCATTCGAAAACGTAACCTTTAAGGAAATCGACCTCGGCTTGTAAGTCAGACACGCTTCCGATTCAAGACCGCGACTTTTCCGGATTTCCAATTCCATTTCTCGAGTCCATCGAACAATTCGAGGAAACATGAATACGTTTTAATTTTAGCATTAACAAAGCCATAGTTATTTTGGATCCCGTGTTCATGCAAGAACGAGAATGGCCTATCGCCCGGGGTGGACTTTTAAAATTAAACAGACTCCTGAAAATAGTGAAAGAGGTTCTGAAGTACGGAAAATCCAATTCTACGGATGATTTCTTCAGCGTGATGGATCAGATAGCAGGAACGATATCGTCTTTCTCCTCGAACTCGGATAAGTACGAGAACATCACCAAGATATTAGATCTGTCTTTCCTGATCTTGCAAGATGGTGTCAAGCTCACTGATAAACTGTTGGATCGTTACGTCGATAAATTTGAGTTGTGAGTGTTGTCCCTTGGACAAGATAATCGACGATGTTTCATCGGTGTAATATTGTGCGATATTGTGTTTAGGGCCGCCGGAGTCTTCGATAAACTCAGAAGCTTCTTCCACGAGAACATAATGAATTCGTTGACATACATTGTATCTCTGATGGACAACATCGTGCAAATCACTCATCACGTTGCAGTTCTCCACGAAGATACATTGAGGAGACTGTACGTAGTTTCTAGGAATCATCAGGATCTGGTGCAAAAGATATTGACGAACTTAGATTCTAACGTGTACAGAACGATCATTCGATCCTTCTCCCGACTGGATTTCTTAGAGGTATGTTATGTTTATTATATAACACGTCACACGAGACTATTATGCTTTGCTTTAACTGAAATATCTTCCGACGACTTCCGCCTTTCTACATCAAACGCTTAAGTCAATTGTGAATTATTGAAATTCTTCCCGCAGCGACTGACGGATGATCTGAGAAAAGCGAAACCCGATGAAGTATTCTGTCAGAAGAACGTAACGAACGAGATATTCGACAATTTCATCGAGTTCAAAGACAGATCCGACAAAATCGTAGAGTTACTCTGCAGCGATTCTGGAAAAGAATATATCACTGACGTTTACAATAGCTTTGAGTTCGACAAGTTCCAGACAATCGTACGTAAAGCAATTTTATCGTAATCAACAAGTAACGAAGTACGTTATTAATTTCTCTTCACAATTGATCACATCATTTTTACAGCTGGCCAAAACTCTATCGACTTTGGTCCTCATGGCGTTCAAGCAATTAGTCAGGATCGAGAATGCGAACTTAACGTCCGTCGTGGGGCATATCAAAGAGTTCCAAACATATCTGGACGTGAGGAAAGTTCAATACTTGGACTGGAGCGTTTTCCAAGTCAGCGACGACTGGGAAAAAACTTTCGAGGAGACGCGTAGTCAAGGCAGGATGGATATGTGAGTACATTACATTCGAGCAGGCAAGATCACGTTCAGTTGGATCGCGAGGGTTAACCGATCTTGCCAGAAAACGCAGCCGCGATCTGCGCTTCTTCAATCGTTCAAAATGTTGCTTACTTACTGGTCGCCAAGCGACACTCACTCTTCTCTCTTCTCACACGCTAATGTTTCTTTTTCGCTCGCTAGTCTGGCGATTCATTTGAGCATAGCGCAGATGGTAGGCGTTCGCAGTATATCTTACGCGACCATCAAACCAGACTTGGATAACATCGACATATTGGCCGAAGAGATTCTGCGCAACCTACAAGCTAACCCCACTAACTGGATCGCGGAAGTAAACCAACACAAAACCGAGCTGATCGAGTCGTTCTACCTCACTGTGACAGACAGGCAGAAGGTCAGTTGAGAAACAATCGTGTGATCTTTCTCGACCGTCGAGCTCCATATTGCACCGCGCGCGATTGCCCCGTGGCTCAATATCTCAACGCGATCCCCTCGATTAAACAGACGCTGCAGATCCTGACATATTCAAATTTCACGAGGACCTACTGCACGGACCAGAATCCGCCGGCTTTGTTGAACTTCCCCAGGGAGTCGAACGCCACGCTTCTCAAGAAGCTGGTGTGCTACCTATCGAAATCGGTGCAGGATAGCCTGGAAGTGAACGTGACCAACGTCGATATCAAGATGGTCGCCGCCCACAGGGAGCGGGAATTTAATTGGACGGCCTTCAACGAGAAGATAATCGAGATTTACCAGTACATCGACACGGCGGTGAATCAAGAAGATCAACGGTACAACTCCAAGAGGATGGAGAAATTGAAGCGGGATTTCGAGAACTCGTGGACGACGGACGTGACAGTGAGAGACGCGTGGGAGATCAGGTAAGAGATATTTTCAATACAGTTGAGTTTTTCCCGTCATCGATATTAATGAGGACATTTATCGTGTAAGGAGTTGATTGCACAAATCAGTGACGCACACCATCTGGTGATACACTACATATGTCTGCAGCGTAGGTTCAATCTGCAAGCTCTTTAGCATAATGGAGAGTCCGGTGTTCGGGATACAGACCAAACAACGTTGGAAGGATGTTTATGGCGTCGCATGGGTAGTCTCGTTGATCTTCGATAAGATCGAGAAGTTGGTGGACGATGTTCAACTGAACCAGAACGTGGCGAACCTCACCAATGTGCTGCAGGACATGCCGCAGACCGAGATGCTCGTCGGCTCGTTCCTGAGAGGTTTACCTCGGGTCATTCTCGACGTGATCGATATGATCACGCTGAGGGCGGTGTCTCTTGTAAATAATTTACTGAAATTTGCACGCTTAAATTCCCTTGTTATAATTTCATTTGGCAACATTATGCGACATTCTGCAAAATCGTGGATCCGACGTGGACGATTCGTTTTCAGATATCGGTTATCGACGATTACAAGTTGCGTGAGCGGCTTTGGCCTTGTGTTCTGAACGAAAGCATTGGCGTCGCGATGCAGCTGAGAAACGAGAGTCGCGATGTCGTGCAAGAGATCGAGCGGATCGCCTGCAGCCCGGGTAACTTTATCAAAGAGTGGACGGAGCAACCGATAATCGCGAAGGTCCGAAAACTGGTGAGTCGTCAACGTTATATTTCGCTTAGCCTGCGGGCAGGATACATTGCATTGCGAGTTACAGCCGATCGTAAAAATTTACAATTAATCGCGTTATTTACAATTAATATGAAATCTTAGCTCGATCATAAAGAAAATGTGGAAGTCTCGCCGTTCAATTGGACGACGGGCTATAGGAAATTTCGGCAAGTGGTGAAAAAGCTCGACGACCTGATAAACGACGCTAAGGAAGTCGTCTTGGCGGAAGAACCGAACATGAAGAAGTATATCAAGATAGTCGTGAGCGAAGCGGACAAAATTGTGGACGAGAGACTGCCAGAGATGAAGACCGATTGGAAGTAAGGACTAGATATTACGTCATATAAGAAATGATCGATTAACGACGGAAACGTCATACTTAAAATTTTCAATTTGATGGAAGAGACTCCTTCGTGTAACATATGTTCGCGTGTTATTTTATGATCATCGACAGTTATCAGGAACATTTTTTTCTCAATCAAGGAACACTCTGGATCACATCGATCTGGAGATTGACAAGACGGTCAAAGCTTTCGGCAGCGAGCTATCCGCGAGTAACATTTGGAAGCCGGAAGTCGACGATACCGATCGTATTCTCATTCTTCTGAAATATGTCTCCAACTTCATTCACAAAGGCGTCCGAATCGTGACCAACGTATTGAATAAAGGTAAATAACGCTTTTGATAACATCGTAATAAAGTTTTAACAATATCGAGGCGCTATGGTGACATTTAAGGTAGTTGTTGAATGCCAAACTTTCAATGACAATATTATAAAGGGCCCCTATATAAGTTTATTATTTAATGAAAAAAATGTTACATCTTCCTATAACTTTACTTAGCTACCTAAATACTATATATATTATAAATTAATATAATTTATTTTTTATTTTTATTATTAATGTTTGCAAATGCTTTATTTGTACGTCAATTGAACTAATAGAAGTGCATACATAATAGAAATTGATAAATATTTAAATATATGTATATGTACATTCGCGGATATTACTATAAATTGTAAATTTTCCATGGGCAATATTTGCAAGATGAAATGAATTAATAATTTCAAAATTTTTGCATAATATCTCTATATCAGTTATTAATATCAGTAGTTTTTCATGAAAATCTTAAATATGATTTAGGAGAAATTAGAAATAGAAGTTAATTGAAAATATAAGTTAAAAATAAAACATCAGTCTCAAAGAATATATATAAAAGTGTCATTTTTAGATGCGAATATCTCAATTTCCGAATGGCCAATCGTTTCCTAATTACTCTCATAATTAAATGATATATTTAAATTTATATGTAGTGTAAGTTTCAACTAATTCTTAAAAAAAAATTCACTTTATGCAAATGCATTTTTATGCATTTTATCATAATTATCATCTTGTAAAACCAAATAACATTGTTGATTATGTCGATTATGTGATGTTCTTTTTTTCACAGGCACAGGAAAAATCAATTTATTATCCCTATTGGGATTCGACAACACGACTCCTGTTGCCATCTTCCACGATAAGCTACCTTATATCCTGTCGACGCTGTTGAACGGAATATCCGATCCGAAAATCGAAAGAAAATTCATCAGCTCGCTAGAAAACCACACCAGGATCACGTGCTCGATGATGTTCGAATGGCTGTCAGACACCAGAGTCGGCTTGAGTGAAGCGGAGTACAAGACCTTGAAGAATTTTACCTGCGACCTCAATCCCGAGAACTTCAACGTATATATCGACTTCTATGCAGACGAAATAATGACTTGGATGAATCCCGTCAAAACATATCGATCTCACATAGTCTCAATGATCGGTGACCTATACAATCTCGCAAAAGTCATCGGCCTCACTATGAAGAACAACATAGTCATTGAACCGCCTTTCCCGAAGCAGTATTTGGACGATATGTTGCTCAAACTACGAGATACGCTGGAAGTCCAACAAACGAGAGGCATTTTAGACAAGGTAAACAGTTAATCGATTATTATCGTGTGTAGGACGCTAGCTTTGCTCGACGAACTATGTCTCAGACGTGAAAATTTCAGTTTCGATAGAGTGTCGTTGACACATGCCTCTTGCAGGAATTGAAGCTGGGTCAAGAATGGTCCGATTACAAATTACTGATTGAGGGTGTGTCGGAGGCTTTGATGCACATTAACGACGCTCTGAAGAACGCGAAGATACGCAATCACAGAATCGAAACCTGGGAATTGATGGAAAACGGCGACACAAGACAAATGCTGAAAATTCTGGAGGCTCATCCCGAAGAAACCATCGCGTTAGTCGCCATTCTCAACACGTACAACCGCACCACCGGCAAGTTACGGCCATTCAAGGATATCAGGAGGGACATGTGCATTAATCATTTCGGCTCTGATTACTGGAACGAGCAACATAGGTTGCATTTTCTACATGAAGTGTGCTCCTTCGATCCTTATCAACTACTGAAGTCTATTACGAGCGATGAATATCACGTACGTAAGGCTAATCAAAACATAATTTAAACGATTTATTTGAGCTAACACGGCACCGTTAAGAAGTCGTACCTGCAAATTGACTCTAAATATTTCTATTTAAAACATTTTTAACGAAATAAAACTGAGGAAACGTTAAAGAACGTCAATTATTCTTACCTTAAACACGGTAAGTCGGTTAAAGCAGAGCTCGGCAAGTGATGCATTTTTCAGCCGAAAGCTGGAAGAGCTTTTCGGAAGGCTCCGTCTCGTGTTATTCCTCTTGCCTCATCGTCCTCACGCGCAATCCACGAGCCGCTTGAGTCTCAGAAACATGGTCACCACATATCGTGCTATTGGAACCGCAGAAGAGAGAAAAATCCAAATCTTTTCTTAAATATACTATATTTCTTATTAAATTTTTATTTTAAGTTTTTTTTAATTTAAACTTAATTTTAATTTAAATTTTAAGCATCGCTTGCCGAACTTTGGGTTAAAAGTAAAAGAAATCGATTCTTTATACGTTAAGCTTTCTGCATCTTCTTTTTCGCAGGATGTTATCACTGGACGAACGACTGTCCTTCAGAGACTGACGCCACTGACCATGTCATTATCAAAATTACTGGACACCGTGTGGAATATCACGAGAACGTCGCCGGAACTGAGTCTCAAGTCAAATATTTTAAACGTAACGACGTGGCAGAATCTGTCCAACGACACGTGGGACTTGATCCTGAAGTCTGAGAAATCTTGGATCGACGTTTACTTCTTTTTCCACAAGTACTATATGATATCGCACGTCTTCTCTAAAGTGGATGTCGGCAGACTGTTCCAGAATCTGGAATCTGTGATTGAGCTCGTATCAGGCGGAGATATTTGGCAGAAGCTTCGCATCATGTACGAGAGCTCGAAAATTAAGCCGCTGCTGAACCTCATAGAGGATATGCCTAATCTCTTAATCACTGCCGCTGAGACTTTTGTCTCGTCTGAGCGACTGGATGACTTCTTGCAGAAGCTCTTACTCGGTCAGCTGCATCCTTGTGACATCGATCGATACCTGATTCCACCGAACTACATAAGGAGGAAAGATCTATTGTCCAGTATCACGAATTTCTGCCAGAAGATCGTTCTGAGCGACAAGGATTTGACATGGATGAATATTCTGCCGTTCTTTGAGAAGTATCACGTAATGTCCGATCTTGGCTAATGGTAACGGTATGTGTCTAAATTAAACGTTAAATATCTTTATTTTAATTGTAGTATGAGAATTCGACGCTTAATATGTCCAACTGGGAAATTTTTAAACGGGCATACGAAATGCAGTGGTTGTACGGATTCCAGACAACTTTGATCCGCGCTTTGTCGGAAGGCTACAAGCAACCGAAGATCCCTACGTGGTGGACGTCTTTCGAGGAGGGCACTTATAAGGATTTTGTCGCACAATATAAAAGGAAGGTGCGTGCTACTGCAATAACTTATTAAATGTTTTTCACATGAATTAACCTTCATCCTCTGAGGACCTTCTGTCCGTTTGTGTTATAAAATCATTCTATTCTGATGAAGGTTACCTGAAATTAATTGAAATATTATCCGTTAGATATATATTTGTTCGAGAATATCTCGAGAAAGTTTCTCACTGTTGTCTAATAAATTAACCGAATTCACATTAATTACAGGACATAAAAGTTCTGGCAGATTCGATGGTGAAAAAAACCGTGTTGCTCCTGAAGAATATTTTAAAGACTTATTTCAATACCAAGTAAGTGAACACATCATCAGGAAAAACAACGACCGACTCGCTGATAACGATATAAAAATAATATTCGCCGTTTTATCACAACTTTAGAGATTGCACATGGTGCGTCACGCTTCCGATGGAGATTTTAAATTCACAGTTATCGCAATATAACCTTTACCCGGATTTCCTCTGTCAACTGAATCGATTGAACATATCACAGATAGATAACAGCCTGACGAACAACATTAATTGGAATAAAACTACCCAAATGGTAGGAAAACGACAATTGTAAATTAAATCGACAATGTAAGAGGTATTTATCAATTGCCAAAAAATCTCTAGGTCAAGGACTACAAACATTTGAAAAAGAATAAGACGCTAGATGAGTTCTTAGATACGCTTGAGACTACTTTGCACTATGTAGCTAACATTATAATTAATTTCCAAAATGAGACGTATCACGAGACGGTGACCGGCTGTTTCAACAAATTCATCGGCAAGCCTATGTTTTCCCGACCAGGCTTGTATGTATCTTCTTGTTCTCGTTGCATTAAAGGCGACAAATTTATGGAGAATTTTTTTTAATTTGTCACTTACTCCGTTATGTAATATTATTATTTTCCAGATATGTTATGTTAATGTTGAGCTTACTGGATATGTTGGAAAATAACGTTTTTCTCTTGGATTCGTTGGCGTATCACGAAGATATTAACGAATTGACGAGACTGGCCGAGGAGCACGTGTCGATTTGGATGCCGTTGCGCGACGTGGTGAAGCGGTCCGATCTCGCTGACGTTGACGCTTTATTACCGAACGCCACTATCAACGTGAACGCGGTTCTGAGCAAATTGAACACGACTCTGTGTCGCACGAAGAGCGATTGCCGGAACGCGACTATCCTGTACAATTTTCTCATCTCAAAAAAAGCGGGCAAGGTCTTACGTTATGACCCGAAAGCGGCCAAATATCCGTCGGTGGCCGATATTTCGAACCGGTTGGCTCTCAGTCTGGATGTGGATCTCATAAATCGGCAGCGGCCGTTTTGGCGCTCACAGGCCTCCTGGGATCTCACCTGGCTGAAGGAAATCCTGCATCATCTGTCCACGATCCTCGGAGAAAGCGGGAATCTGCTGGACGTTGCTAGTAAAATAGATTTCGAAGACGTTTCCAACGTTCTTGGAGTTCCCGACCTCGCTGATGGCATAATCAGCATATTGAACGACAAGACAGTCGATAAGCTGTTTGACGGGTAAATATATTTTGATCTCTTCTTTTGATTTAGTCCATCAGATTTGTATTTTGTATAAAATATGTTTGATGACAAGCTATGCAAGTCAATATCATACATATTATATTATTATAATAATATTTTAGTATCGTAATATTATACTGCTTCATATCTCTTTTTTGAACTTCTCTTTTTTTGTTCTTTAACAAGGGTTAAATTTATTTGTCTATTATAATATATTATTTTCTTAACAAAAACTTGATGAAAAATGCTTGTAATTCTTTAAAATTTTATATTGCACTGAGGATACAAAAACATATTACTCATTAGGATGAATGATCTCCTGGAGGACGTGGAGCCGCTTGTGCAGGATCAAGAAGTAATCGATGATCTGCGCAGAATGGTCGTGGCACTGGAATCGATGGAGATTTTCAAGAACTTAGGACTGCTGGATATGAAATGTAACAAATTACGTTAGATCGTGTTCTCGTATAATGTTTTCTGACTTGATTCATTTTCACTTTACAGACGTTGTCAGGAAGATGTTCGACAATTGGGACATGGTGAGATCGTTCCTGCGCGATAGGATTAACGTCAACAACGAGATTCTCCTCACGTTAGCTGAAGCCAAGATAGATATGATCTCGGTCTTCATGAGGGAACGCGGCGTCATCAGCCTGAAAGACACTATCTGTTCACCCGAGAAACTTGGCGATATGTTATATTTCAATAATAGCCTCGTAACTGTCGATGAAGTTAGCTCCGCACTTTGCCAATTGAACGACTCGCAGACGCAGAATATCACCATCACATTGCTCAAAAATTTAAACTTCGATTACATCTTTAAAAATGTAAATACGGCTTATACGGGGAGTCGGCTGTTATCTCAATGTACCTTGGATACATATCGCGAAAGTTGACAAATCTTCTTTCCGTTTTAGTTGATGAATGCTAACGTGAAGAACATCTTGACCAATGCGAATTTAACCGAGGCCGAAGGAAAAGTTGTACTGGACAATCTCGGCGTTGCCTCGGAATTATTTCCGTTTTTCAAAGATAAATTGACGGCGAGCTTACCGTCGGCAAAGCAGATGGATGAGAGCAACGACGAAGAAACGGGGGAAACGATGTCCAGTAAGTCGCGTAAATAAAAAAAACATGATGAATTAACGATACGCTTATAAATCGAATAAGTTTTAAGCCGAATCTTAACTTTTTCTATCAACGTCTGTGATTTTCACAGATTCACAATTTCTGAATGACGCCAGCGCACTGCTCTGCGGTAAAAAACTAATGTCAAAGAATGGGCAAATTTACAAAATTATATCCAGTCTGGAGGATAGCAATAAGGCGTACGATCAGAAGGAACTCAATTCCCTGCCAAGTAAGTGAAATATGTAAAAACGATGAGAAACATGTATCCATTAATTACATTAACAAACAAGAAGAAGTCATCACTGATATCGTTCCTTTAATTACAGACGATTTCTGCAGACAGACGTACAAAGATGTGCTCACTATACCCGCCGGCAAAATCATCTGGTCGTACGTTAAGCCTCTGTTACGCGGCCAAATTCTTTACGCGCCTAATACTACCGTGATCAACGAGGTAATGACGCTGGCGAACGAAACCTTTGTACAGATGGAGCACTTCAGGGTGCTGATCAATAGTTTCGAGAAGACCCTTAAATCTCTGGCCAATCTGTCAGAGATGGGCGACAGTTTAAAAGAGTTGCAAAGTATCTTGGCCTCCGACGTGATGAAAGTCGCGGTCAAGTCCATGGGAAGCGGCAATTTCGAAGGTACTGTTCACATATCGACGATTAACTTTCTATCTCGTGTAAAATTAAGAAGAAAGATTCAATAAATCTTGATCGCACATTCTCGCAATCGCATTGCGCAGGCGACTTTTCGGACCTGAATCTCAGCGAGATCGCGTGGCGACTGAAGAAATCGGAGAAGATGATCTCGATGGTGGGCATGCTGAACGATATGATGGGTTGCGTGTTGGTGAACAGGACGATAGGATTCTCCACGGAAGAGGAACTGGAAGCAGCGGCCAGCCGCTTGACCAACACCAACGAGTTCTTGGCTGCAGTGATCTTCCTGGATGATTCCTCGCCGCGCTCGAAGAGATCCCTGGATCTCGAGTTGCCCGATAATATCACCTATAAGATTCGTATGGACGTGGACTACGTGCCGTCTACTACGCGACTGAAGAATCAATTTTGGATTCCCGGCCCAGAGAGCAGTTTCCTTGAACACCTCAGGTACCTCCGTGGTTTCATACAGCTTCAAGATTCCGTCGATCGCGCGATCATCAAGGTCAAGACCCGGAGGGATCTCAGTTGGAGGACGCTCACGCAACAGATGCCGTATCCTTGCTGGAAATTCGCACCGTAAGTAATCAAAGAGATCATTTTCGGCGGCTTCGATTCACGGGAGAGAATCCACGGCGAGAACGATATAATTAATTAACTGTTTAACGGAACGGTTTGCCCCTTGATTACATTTACAATGTAAATACTAAAATAGTCTTTCCATATTGTGCTCCATACATCGTAACTTTACCATCATTATTTCTCATACCTGAGTTTAACACGGGCGCGCGCGCATCATGCTAATATAAAATAAAGCGCTTCCCGAGCTTAACTCGGGGTCTGCGCGTTAAGGGGTCAAAGTTGAACGCTCGGTTCGTTGAAAATTAAAGTATCATTGAAATTTTGCAGCTTCCAATCGACGCTGTACGAGTCTCAAGGGTTGCAGGTGTGCTTCTTCTTCGCGTTAATGATATGCGTTGGAGCGGCCGTCCGACATATTGTTTGGGAGAGGGAGTCGCAAAATGCGATGGTATAATTATCATTAATATGTATGACGGAGGAATATATTAAAACGTTGAACTTCTTATCGAGGAAAACGCTTTTCCTTCCTTTCTAGGTGATGAGCGTGATGGGATTGAAGCCATGGCGGAACACTTTGGCTTGGTTCATCACGTCTTTCATTGAGCTGACGATCGTGATGTTGTCGATCGCCACGATTTTGCTGGCCGGCAAGATCCTACCACGAGCGAATCCTCTACTGATACTCGTCCTACTTTTCGATTATATCTTCTCGATAGTGACCTTTTGGTGAGAGAATTCGTCGCGATTCGAACTTCCCGCACGTACACGAGACGCGCAATCGTGCCTCCTCTGTTCCAGACTCAACCATTGCAAATCTCAATTAAATTTCAGCTACATGATCTCGACGATGTTCAGCTCCGCCAGCCTCGCCGCGGTTACCACGGTCGTCATGTTCCTGTTAACTTACATGCCGTACGTCATTGTTATCGCCATGGAGGCCGTATTTGGACTCGGATATAAACTTTTAATCGTGAGTTAAGCTAACAGTTTGTAGTGTTTCCCGTCGGCGTCGTATTTTTATTTGTACACTCAGAGAAAGATTTCGTCGTCAGAACTAAAATACAGCTGTGGCAGTTGAGATGTGTCTTTGAAATAAATGTAGCGAATATCGTTATTACCGCAATTAAATTTATCGCCTGTTTGAATCTACATTGTTATAGTAAAAAATATTAGCTAAATCCTAAACTAAAATCGTATATTCCCAATTAGAAATATGTTTGCTATTTTTTTAATAGAAATTGCCCAGATGTTAATGTATGCTGATTTTATCTAAAATTCAGCAATTTACTTGATTTAATGCTACATGTCGAATTTGAAAAACACCGATGAACTCGAACTTGAGACCTCTCACGAAAAAGAGAAGATTAATTGCAGTAGCTAAATTAATTGTATGTATGGACACTTAACCAGTTAAGTGTGTTTGACGACTATATCCGTCATGGAGATGTGGCAGAATCTTGTGTCATGACGACTATATCCGTCATGCGTAAAATTTGGTTACAATTTGATATTTAATTGTAATTCTGGCGAAAACTAAATTATATTCGTAAATTTTAATATGGGTAAAATGTTTAGAGATCAAGACAAAATGAAACAAACAAATGAAAATTATAAATAATTTGAGTTGGATTTATAATTTCCTGAGAGCTAACTCGCTTGATTATCGCGACACACACTGGTGGGCGCTTTGCAAAGAGATCGCCACAGTTAACTGGTTAAAACTCAAAAAGCAGCGCAACCAATTCGAATTACTGCAGTAGTAAACTCTTTTGCCAAATGACATTTATGATAATATGTTTACTGCTGCAGCAATAAAATTTACGAATTTATTACTACACCAGTCAAAACTGCTTACGTTGTTAAAGTTTTAGGTATCTATACATATAATTAATCTAATTATTGCAACTAATCTATTTTTTTTCGCGCTGAACATAAATTGACTACCTTAGGTATTACATCACTTCGTCGATTGATATAAATATGTTTCGTATTGTTTACATATGGTATAACCAAAGAGGGAGAGAGAGAAAGAGAGAGAGAGAGAGAGAGAGTCAATTTTAAGTACTCGTGCTAATAATTTCAGTTAATAAAGTTGTACCTCGCGGTAAATGCATTTTACCACTAATAGCCAACTTTTAGCAATGGCAGCAAAGTTCGAATTAACTAATGAGATTTAGCTGCTGTTACTGAGTCATCTCTCTGAATGCATATTAAAGCAAGGCGCGACCGAAAATATCTCGACGGTTAAACGACAATTCTTGCTGTTCAGTGTTTAAGCATGTCCACCAGCTTCTGCTACGGATGTTTGTACGCTGTGCGAAAAGAAGTTCAAGGTACCGGTATATCTTGGGGAAACATCTGGGAAGAGTCGAGTCCTGGCGATCCGATGTCTTTGGGATTGGTGCTGCTGACCCTCGCGTTCGACGGATGCCTATACGCTGTGATCGGCTATCTCATCAGTAGATACACTAATTCAGGTATAAATCCGGGAAGCGGCTCGCGCATACTCTCTTAGAACTGTCTTCGGGAGTGAATATACTTCCGATAATATTTTCACTGGTGGAGGTGTTAAGAGTAGAAATTGGGCGATACTGACGCACTATTTCTCTTCCCAATTGTTTCGTACATAATATCGACCGCGAGCGAGTAATTCTTGCGAACGTCATTCTTTACATCGAATAATCTTTATTAACGAGATAATTTTCCACAGATTTCTATTGATCTTTTCGGTGTGGGTGACATTCCCTCAAAATCATATATCTGTTGTTTCTCTATGTGTATCTCAACTCCTATCTTCGTCACACAATTATTTCGTCGATAACAATTACTAAGATTCAACAGAGTCACACGGTAGGATTATTCGGATGAATTTTTCATTGTCGCTGAAACGAAACGATCACATATTCGAGATAGAAATTGACCGTCTTCTATTCGAGATAACTTAATCGCGCGCTATTTAGAATCATATAAGAAACATACGATATGATAAATAAAACCCGAATATCACCTTCGCGTGGCTCTCTTTCACAGAAAAATAATGACACACGCGTATCCGTGATGGTACGCGGCACACCACATTCTCGCAAACCTCGTACACACATATATTTTCACGGTACTCTCACCCCTTCTGTGTAATCATGAGATGCACCTGTGAGAAAAAAGTCCAGCGGGCGGATCTGACGAAAGCGCGTCGCTTAAGAGAACCGATGAGAAGGACGCGACCTGGTGAGTTATCTGCGAAACGAACGGAGAATTACCGATAATTTTCCAGGCAGGTGCTTTCACGGTTTGAGGTCCCGTAGCTTGTGGTGGGCCAACACACGTTCTCTCTATGGCAGGCCGAGCTACCTCGCCTTCGTCAACAACCTCTATTTCACTAACGACGTTCTCCATCCTTCAGCCGCTTATTCAGGTATCGCACTCTCCTCCGCTCGCATCTCGTAACGCGTGTGCACCAAAGTTTTCGGCTTGCTTTTCCGGGCATATCTAGCTAGCATATGAGGCGAGAGTAAGAGAGAACGCCTGTGACAGACGGCAGGTAAACCCAGTTAGAAACTTCGCTCCCTTCGCAGCGCGCGCGGTCGCGGGGGAAATTATCGTCAAAAATTTTCATAGCCACGCGCGACGGCGCGACGACGCGACTACCGTTGGAACTTCGGCATTTCTGTAAGAATTTTTGATCGATTCCCGTATTCCCGCGAGATATGCAACGACGGGGATACCAGTTTAATCTTGGGTTATGCAAAAACGGGTAATTCGAGCGGGAGAATTCATTTATACGTTATATTAATTAATCTTTCGTGCAATTCCGATCATCGCATCATATATTGTTCTCTTCATTCTCGCTGTAAACGCATCGCCAAGCATCATGTATCTTCATATCGCATTACGTTCTGGAAAGCTATGTTCATGTTTGACTCGATGACGAAGCTCAGGCATGTGAGTGTAATCGCATCTGTGTGAGCTTTGTGTGTGCCTGCATATTTTCCTATTTTTCCCCTCGATTATTTTATAATTCTCCAACGAATTTTGCGTATTTTACAATCGAGTGATCATACTAATATCCTGTCCCAATTATATATTTTCTTGATGTTATGGAAAATTCATATGATTTTTGCACTGCATGCACCGCATGGATCGCATGAAACGTAGCTCAAGTTTTAAGAAGAGGCCTTTTTTGTCCTCGGAAAGTAATTCGTCTTGATGTATCGGAATCATGTTCAGCTCAAGCTAAGACATTTGTCTATGTTGGTGTGAAATTGCTTCCTCTCGGAAAACAATTTTTAACTCGCTTCCTTGAAAGTGTGGTCATAAAATTGGTAAGATGCTTGCTTTCGATTATGCAAGCGACGTCATCTTTGACACGATGTAAGACACGAGCTGTCGTTTGTTGCCGCGCGCAGAGGACGAGAGCGATATCAGCAGTTTGACGGTCACCGAGAAGCAGATCGGCGTGAAATTCGACGGCGTCAAGAAAGTTTACCACACCGAGCAGGGTGACGTGATCGCGGTGGACGACTTCACTCTGAAGCTTTGCGAGGGCGAAGTGACAAGTCTGCTCGGCAGAAATGGCGCGGGAAAGACCACGATTATGTACGTCAAGTTTTTCAAAGTTTCGAGCTCTCGATAAGTTTATCAAGTTCTTAAATTGCATATATTTAAAGGTATTTATAAGTAATCATGTATTTAGAAGATTCTTATCTTTGTCAGTTTCTACTTAAGAGCTATGTAGTATATAAACAACATTTTCTTAGCGTTCTTAAAGTGAATAAAGTATTCAGCTTATGTCATTGGTTAAATAATAAAAACTTTGCCTTTAAACAAATGTATTTCATTTGGAAATATTTGATTACTTATGTCCCTTAATAGTTATATAGAATTCATCGGATAGTTTAACAATTCAACGTTACGTTATAGAATTTATTTTCTGCATGTCTTTGTTACAGCAAAATGCTCACAGGGATGGTATCGCCGACCGACGGTGAAATTTGCCTAAACGGCGAAGAGGGTTGTAAGCCCGACATAGGAGTGTGTCCTCAAGACAACGTACTCATCGGCACTCTGACGCCGAAAGAGCATATGATCTTCTACTGGAAGCTTAAGAGGCCTGCCGATAACATCGACATGCAGAGGAACGTTGACGAGTAAGACATTTTCCAAATCGATAAATAATACATAACACATGAAACATCTGAGTGGAAAATGATGTGTGTAAAAATAATAGGTTGCGGCTTTGCTCTTTCGATCTTTTCAATTTGAACTGTACAATTTTCTATCTCTTAATTTTTAAAGAAACAATTCCTCCTAGTAATACTTTTTCTCCGTTGGAATCGGACTCTTCTCCATCAAATACCTTCGTTCTCCGCAGGATGCTAGCGTCCTTGGAGCTCGGGCGTCAAGAGCTCGAGCCTGTGGCACGCTTGTCTGGCGGTACACGGCGTCGGCTCTGTGTCGCTTTGGCTTTCCTCGGTTCACCACGATTGGTCATCTTAGACGAGCCTGGCGCCGGTGTGGATCCTGCGGCTAGACGGAGGATCTGGCGGTTGATCGACCAACACAGGATTGGCAGGACCGTGATCCTGTCGACTCACCACTTGGACGAGGCCGACATGCTTAGCGACACGGTGGTGGTGATGCACAAAGGCAAGATCTTGTGCACCGGCTCGCCATTGTCCTTGAAGATGATGCACGGCCGAGGGTACAGAATGAACGTTTCATTCTCGCCCGATCAGCGCCTAGACATGAACGACAAGAAGCATCTGAAGGACCTCCGCACAATCGTGGAGGAAATCGTGCCGAACGCCACGATAAACGAGGTCTCCGAGTCAGAATTGATCGTCACGTTGCCTTTCCAGGGGAAAAACGGCATGAATAATGAGTAAGTGAAACCCGATATGAATTATCGTTCATCTTCGAGCGCTAATTTTCAAGATTGATTTATTTTAAAGTGAAATCCTGATTTATCGCACAAGTTGATTTAATCGTTCCGTCTCGAGTAAATAATTTTCGTATCCACAGCCGCGCATTATTCGTTCGCTGAGGTGAAAAATTCGATTCTCCTCTCGTATGAAGCCGGCTTTGCACGATGTGGCAAATGAAGGCAAACGTTGACAATTTATATTGGCCACGTATGTTATATATTCGTCCAACCTATATGATCAATATAATTGCTCACATTTGTCAAATCGTGTGGATTTGTCGAATCATCTTAACATATCTCTCGTGTAACAGGTTGCGGAGAGAGAATACGAGATAAGATCTACTTATTTCACGGTAATTCAGAGTAACGCTACGAGCTGCTCCTTGTAATTCATTTCGCTCTCGCAAATATTTAACGCTTCAGGCTTCGAGCCTCTAGCGACTTGCCTCGGGAGGAGCCGCTATAATCGTATACCGGCGCGTGCTTGGGACGAAATCGGTTAAACAGCGGCATCTGCTTTTGAGTAAAGTCAAGGATATTGCAGCATCGCGCAGACGGCGAAGGCTCTGGAGGACAATCGTAAGCTGCTGGGATTCTCGCACTTCTCATTGGAATGCGACACTCTGGAAAGGGTCTTCCTGGATCTGTGCGCGCGAGCAGACAGCGGATCGAGCGCTATCAGGGCGAGTCAAGATAGCGTCGCTACCATAGAGAGTCACGCCGGTGAGAGAAGAGCGCGATGAGATGACGTCTCGCTCTCTTAATTAGAAAAATTAATTCTCCAATTCTTAATTCCGAGGTTCCTCTCGATTCATATCGACCGTACGCGCGCTCGCCGGCGCGTCGTGGCTTACACCGGATCTTTTAGCTTCCGAAAATAAACGGAGATCCGATTGAATCGAGGGTGTGATCCCATGGGGGGGACACTAAAGCTTTTCACTCCGCGCAGAAATTTCCGCGCCGGACGACGACGTCGATCTGATCACGTCGGAGATGTTGTCGAAGCCCTCGCCGTTCCGGCAAATGAGAGCTATCATAAAGAAGAGACTGTGGCATTTCGCGAGGGACTGGAGAGCGCCGTTGGCCGCGCTTGTTTTGCCGACCATGTTCGTCGCAGTCGCCATGGGATTCTCGTTGATACGACCGCCGTCCGAGGACGAGCCACCTCTGGCTCTGACTCCCAAACTCTACAATATTCACCCGACCTACTTTTACAGGTAGGAACAATAATGTCTTAATGATGAGGGGAAACGACGAGGTCGGACAAGGGTTAAGATAGTATCGCGAATCAAAAAGGCGCAAGATCGCACTGTCGAATCTTTCCTTTTTCTTATTCGCCTGATTTTTTAGAGCGTTTTCTACACCGAAGGAAAAAGGTACTATGTTCAAGTAAATATTTGCTAAAGACTATTGGAATAATGATTTTACCTGAATTAAGTAAATATTAATTGAAAGTAATATTTAGTTCAAGTAGAACAATTGCTTCAATGTTTAGCGAATATTTACTTGAAAATAGCATGTTTTTCCTTCAATGTAATATTTTTCATTTCATTGCAGTATCGACGGAAGTAACGATCCGTTCCTGCAACACGTGTCTCTACAGCTGCACGACCGTTTCGGGGACGATTATGCTGGCGCGTGGCAAACTTTACCTAACGTAAGAATTACGTTGTACTTGCGCGTGATAATTATTATTTCTTATAGAAATCTACGAACATTCGAGACAAGATTTATACGATTATTTACAGGATACCGGGACCTGCGAGTGTATAGACGGTCAGCAAAGCTGTCGCGGTGTTTCTAAAGCCGTCGAAGGTCTTCTCCAAACTTTACCCGGTCGACCTACTTTAGACTGGATCGTCTCGACACATCAGGAATATATAGAGAAACGGTAAATCTCGGGCTTCTGTATCTAGCGAATGAAATATCGAGGATTTGTCGAGCTCATATTTGACAAATAATGACTCGCAGATACGGCGGCTGGTCTCTATCTCACTACAAGGAAGATCCTCTCTTCGTCGTTTGGTATAATAACAAGGGTCATCACTCGATGCCGGCGTATTTGAACGCCTTGAACGAGGCAATCTTCCGAGCATCCGGAGTGCAAGGGCACTTAACCACACTCAATCATCCCTTGAAGTTATCGAGCGATCAGCTGAATCGAACAAGTCTGTGAGTCAAGTTTAGCTTCACTCGACAGATATAAATACGTAATTAGGCAAAACTCCCTAAGTAGAATATATATTTCATGTTGGTTCTCGCGACCGTTGCGTGCATGTGTGATATAATGAATGTATGTGTGTGTGTGTGTGTGTGTGTTTAGAAATTAATTAATTACAGAATTTCATGTAAAGGGATGTGGGCGTGGATTCGCTCAAGCGGATAAGCAAAGATGTTTGCGCACACAGTTTGAAGCTTCTGAAGTAAAAGAGTCGGGACGCGAGCGAGACAGCTCGCGGACGCGCACGCTCACATACGAGTGTAGATGTTTCGTTTACTTTTAATTAACGTACCACATCATTTGGTATTCATGCCGGCGACGTAGCTCTGGTTTCAACGTGAAACGTTGATTCAGTCGCCGCAGCACCGTTCGCATCGTTATTTCGTTAATGATACTACTTTTATTTACTTTTCCTGATTAATATTAAGTACCGTGTTTGCATATTACGCACTTTATGCGGAAGACACGTAGACAATCATTTCATATCCTCTCGTAGTAAGTGGAACTAGTTTAAATACCGTTGCACGAATGTCAACAATTTTATCTAGTTATACGTACTCGAGTGACATTTTGTTTCTACGTTAGATTACAACACGTGGCGGACGTCGGTGTGGCATTGGTGCTTCTGATAGCGTTCAGTCTGGTCGCAGCTCAGGGAACGAAGGAGTTAGTCAGAGAACGATTATCGGAGGAAAAGAGGATTCTCTATTTGGCCGGAGTTCACCCTATCACGTACTGGACGACGGTTTTAATTTGGGATTTCATAGTGAGTTATCTTAATCGAGACGGAATATAAAAATCCTCCCAATCTGCCGGAAACAGTTCTTTTCTAATATGTAATTTTAAATACTATTATTTTTTAATATCGTTTCATATTATTCTCTCATAACATATAATAAACTATATATATCATTTATTATATATGTAATATTAACTTATTATATATATACATTATTTTGCATTTTTTATTTTAATAATATATCGATAATATTTCATTTCAGGTGTTTGGTTGTGCTATTTGTCTGGCGGTCATCGTATTTGAAATCTTCGGTCTGTCAGCTTACGTCGCGAAGGATAATCTTCTCGGTGTTTGTTTGCTATTAATTTTATTCGGGCAAGTATATCATATAATCAATTACACTCGCTCGTCTCAATCTCAATACGAGACGGATTATCCCAAAAATTCCTTGATTCTTTTCAGATGGGCGGCGATACCGTTTTCGCATGTCGTCGAGAAAGCGTTCGACGACTCGAGCCTGTCCAACATGGTACTCTTCTGCGTGAACACTTTCATAGGTGTGGCCTCTTTGGCGACTATTCTCGTACTCGACATCGTCGGCAAGACCAAAACCGCTGAAGACGTGAGGAACATTCTGCATTACATTCTGATGATCTTCCCGCAATACGCCTTCGGCGACGCGCTGGTCCAGATATCAACAAACGACATCACCTCCGAACTGTTGCAAAGATTCCACATGGATACGTATCAGTCACCGCTCGGCTGGGATCTCCTCGGTATCCACTACGTCTTCCTGGTCGTGATCGGCGGAATCTTGTTCGTGTTGAATCTGGTGATTGAATGTCGAATTTTCCCGAACGTGAGGAAACAGAAGATCAGTTACGAGATCGCTGAGGAAGACGAAGATGTTGCCAGGGAGAGACTGAGGGTCGAGGCTGGCATGGTCGACGATACCCTGAAGACTCTGAAGCTGCGGAAGGAATACAGGAGCGTCTACGGGACGAACGTCGCGGTACAAAATTTAAGTTTCGGCGTGCAGGCGGGAAAGTGTTTCGGTCTCCTGGGGGTGAACGGCGCGGGAAAAAGCACGACGTTCAAGATGCTGACAACGGAGATCATTCCTACGGCCGGCGAGATCGTTCTGCGGGGAAAAGAAATTGGCACCGGACCCCTGTGCAACGGCGAGGTTGGCTATTGCCCTCAGAGCGACGCCCTAGACGGATTCCTCACTCCTCATCAATGTTTGACGATCCACGCCGAAGTTTGCGGTTTCAGTAACGTTCCTAAGGTGGGCGCGAATAAATTTGCGGAAAGTTATGTAGAATCGAATCTGCCAATCAGATTCCTCACCGGGATTTTTAACGCAATTATATTATTATTAGATCTCGTGATATTCATAATTTAAGTAACGTCGCCGCAGCTGTTCTGCGGCTGTAGCTGGAAGTCGCGTTTTAGTTAAGAGCAAAGTTCGCGAGGACACGACAGCATGGAATCGGGAATCCAAGAATTTCGTTTATTATTTCAGGCCGTCGAGTCGGCACTGAAGAGGTTCGATCTGCTTAAGTATGCTTATCGAAGGGTCGATAGTCTCAGCGGCGGTAACAGAAGGAAATTGTGCGCCGCTATCAGTGTCATGGCACCTGTGGCAGTGGTACTCATGGATGAGCCTACGAGGTATGTTTTTTTCCTCGGCGATTCTGTACAGAGAAAAAAGTTACTTTGGATTTAATATTAGGTACCGGAAAAAGTTCGTCGTGGTTTCCTTCTTAGCAATGAATTGAAGTCGAATTTCAGTCAGTAATTCGCACGTGTATGAACTTGGTATCAACAGAAAGTTACATTTATGTCGTTAGTATACATGATGTGCATGCTTTCAATTGTTTCAACATTCCGTTGTTTATGTGAAGTTAAAGATAGATAGTGAAAAGTTAAAAACTCTCTTGCTTTGTGAGTTTAAACTTGGAAGTACAGCAGCAAATGTAGCAAAACGCATTTGTAGCGTATGTGGTGAAGGCACTGTTAGCGAGAGAACAAAAATGGTTTAAACGGTTTAAGGAAGGTTGTGAATCGCTAGAGGATGAGCCGCGTTCGGGACGTCCATTTGTTATTGAAGATGATTAACTGCATGGATATATGCATTCAAACCCACAAAAAAGGTGTGTAAACGTAGGAAAAGAGTCATCGAAGTCAATGGTGACTATTTCGTCAACTAAAACTACTTTTTAAAAAAGTTCTGAGTGTTTCAATTTTGATCTAAGAATCCGCACGAACTTTTTCCGGTGGCTAATACATTTATGTATTTCTTTGACTTGTTTATTTAATACAAATAACATAATATCAAATATCATATTGTTTGAGTGAAAATGTTTCATTAGAATAAACTATATTGTTTGGTAGAATAAACAGTATTATTTAGAGAAAATAATATTTGGTTTTTAATACAAACAATTTTATTTCATTATATATTAAATACTGTTCCCCACTGAAATAAAGAAGTTCTTTTGTATTTTTCTAACATCCCATACAACACAGACCTACAAGGTACGTCCTAAAAACGCTCAGAGGATGTCATACGTCTTAAATACGTCCACAGGACATTCCTCAAATAAAGTATGCTGTGCAAGATGGTTACTTCTTTCAAATAACTTATTGCTGTGACAACCATTGTAATACTTGGATGAAAATACAACAGAAATATTTATATTTGTCGTAAAGAGAGTGATAGATATTTATTGTTTGTGAGAAACCAAATAATATCCTGCTTATTGAATCAAATATTCGTTTGCTGTACTCCAATAAACAAATTTGTTTTAATTCAAGAAATTTGATTACATCCTAAGAAATCTTTTTCTCTATGTGTAATTTTATAATGTCAAAGGACGCGTCGTTAGATTTCGCGAAGGGATTCGGTCATGACTTTGAGATTTCGGAATGTTTCGAGGCGGTCGCGCAATCACGTTTCTCGCGCGCGCACGTCCGAAAAGTTATTTACCCCCGTATTAATAAAACAACTTTATCGTCCGTTTCAGCGGAATGGATCCCGCCACGAAGAGCCTCGTGGCCCGAGCCGTGAGGCAAGTGACGAGGAATCAGGGTTGCGTCATACTGACGTCGCACAGCGTCGCCGAATGCGAGGACCTGTGCAACCAAGTTGGAATTCTCGCCCGAGCCGGTCTCAGGTGTATCGGAACGCCGCAGCATTTGAAGCACAAGTAAGAACACATCGAACCTCCTCCGCCTTCTGTCTCTCGAGCGACGTGTCTCTTTTAACCCTCGCAACCGGATATTTCCCAACAGGCTCATAAACCGCGCTCGCCGAGGGCTTTCCTTCGGCTCTGATTTTCCACCTTTGTCTGCGGCTCTTGTCCTAGATAGACCCGGGGACTCATAGATACTTATGTTCCGCGGCTTAACGAATTCTTCGATCGAACGCTCTTATCTCTGTACCGTTCCATCCCGTTGAATAATCTTCTTTATGGCGGAAACAGCACTACACGGCGAAAACGCGGAGCGCACGAGGAAAAAAGGTGATGACCGCGGTCCATTAGAGAGCGGCCCATTATTCCGCTGTGAAAGCTGCCCGATATAAAGCGGCAAATATTTTCTCCTCGGCGACGCTCCCTCAAAGAGAATTTTGCAGTCGCCATTACGCATCTTAATTAGACACCGCTGAAAAGTTTAATTAAATCTAAGTCCTTTTGACGTGGTAATTCTTACAGTTAAGAGGCTTAAGGCTCCGCGAATGTGTCTTTGTCTCGGCGGGTCGGTTCACAATAATAATAATAATAATAATAATCGTGAAAATTACTCTGATCAATAAACGTGAAATCGGTGATGCGATAAGGCCGATTCTATCGGGCACTTTCGCCGATGAAAATCGATTATGCGCATTCGTAGCGAAGTAAATCCGTCCAGTTACCAAACATACGCGACGTGGCCTATTCGAAATAACGTAAGAGCGTTGTAAATATTTAACTGTTACATCCTGAAGTGTCTCGGATAACGTCCTTCTTCCACTCTCTTTCTCTCCTTCTTTCACCCTCGAGGGTAGAATTTACGATTTGCCCGCGTTAGCGGCCCATCCAGCAATCCGCTCGTATGTCCGTTCGGCGGCGAGTACAGGTCGAATGATAAAGAATGGCGAATGCACTTTGGTACAGGGAGCACAGAGAGCATGGTAAAAGCTCATCTGCCGCGTCCTTTGTCCGTGGACGATCTTGAAATTTTGATATCGTGCTCCTCTCAATCTGACGCGTGTAACGAGAAAGTGAACAAATCGTCGGGTTGAGCACACCGATTACGGTAGCACCGTCGAGAGTTTCTCTTTTATTATCTCTCTTCCACTGTTGAGACGACTCTCACGTTATCACCTTATTGTTGTTGTCTATTATTATATCACCGTTGGAATCAAACGTCGCGTGTATCGTCACAACGTGTTATATCGCGAGCTTGTCCAGAAACACGAAAATCTCGTTTGACTTTTAGATTCGGGGAGGGATACGTCGCCTTCCTGCGATTCAGCCAGCCCGTTTCCGCGGCGGATCTTAGGAGAGCCATCCTGAAATATCTGCCACAGGCGATGATCTCTTCGAGGCAGGCTACGGCTGCTCGACTTTTGCTACCACGGAGCCAGGACATGGCGCTCAGTGTGAGCTTCAACATGCTGAAGCTCTTGGCGGAGGAGCTTAAGGCCACCGACTACACACTCACACAGAGCTCGCTAGACCAGGTCAGTGAATCCAATTCAGCGATACGGCGTTTCGCGGATTCTCATCAATTTTAGTTTTCGAGTACCACGTCCCGTGATCTCGTCTCGTGAAACTTCGCTGTGTATTATCCCGAAAAGGTTGTCCACGCGGAATCGCGTCGATTATTTTGTTAGTTACTAAGCCGGTGCGAAGTCGAAAAATTCGTTCGTACTTCAACACGCATGTGATTTTTTCACCAACGGAAAAGCAAGGAGGAACGAGCGAATCTCTCCGAATAAAAATGTATGTAAAGATACACGGAGAAAATATTGTAGTAAAAATTTTTTAATGCTGGACCAAATTTTTTAATGCTGGACCATATTAGAATTATGACAGAAATGATTATGTGTGTTGTAATATTTAGTGATGTATATAATGAAACACATCATTCAAAATTACAATCACACGTCATAATTTCAGTTATAATTTCGATATTGTCCAGCATTACAAGCTAGCTAATATAGGCTAGATTACATTTCCTCTCTGAAACACGTTATTAGTTTATTACTGGCTGATTATTCACTAAAATGTAAAATGGATCTTGCGATTTAGCTGTTGTCCAGCTATTACGTACCAAATACAATAGAGTAAATGGCACTGTTTATTTAAAAATACATAATCCAATACTATATACTCGCCACTAGCATTTAAAAACGAGGTAGCAAATGAAAAGTGAAAGTATGTTATTCCAGAATCTTAAAAAAGCAGAACATCGATTAAGTAACTTTCTCTTAGAGTGGATACGTGAAAAGTGAAAATTCCAGATGCTTTCAAATTAGAAAGTTTACACTTTTCACGAGTTCATGTTAGAGGAAAAGATTCACGATCCTCTGAGGTTAATCATAAATCTTTTCCTCTAACGTGAATTCATGAAAAGTGTAAATTTTCTACTTCGGAAACATTTGAAATTTTCACTTTTCACGTTTCCGCCCTAAGGAGAGCGTGATCGATACCCATAAATAAGCGTTACACTATTGCCTGGAAAATAGTTATGATTTTTCACTTCGTAACCGTGTAATTCTGTGTACTTTCGGTCTAACTGTCTAATTTCTGTTTAATTATATAATTTTTTTCTTTAACTATCAGCTAACTTATTTACCTAATAATTATCCAGCCATTATGAGAAGTGAGCGTTACATTACTGGCTAATAACGACGTTGGACATAAATTTACTACTTCGCGACTGGACACCCACGAGATTCAATTTCTACTAAGGTCTCGACGCGAATCTCATACCGACGACAAACGAATTCATTCAACGCCTCTCGCTCGTTTAATCGCGCTCGATTGAGCGCAGTGACGCGTCACGCAGAAACATCGCGCGGTACAGTAAATTTCCGAGATGGCCCGAAGTCGACACGATCGTCGCTGTGATCGAGCCGCAATATTAATTTTCGCGACCTGACTTTTGGCGACGGATCGACCGGTTGCGTAGTCGGATAGCGCGATATTCTAAGGTCCTTGTCTTCAGCAGATGATGCACCGCCGGTACACGGCGCCTCCTCTTGTCGCTCGAAGATCCGCGTTTTCGTCCCGCCGATCCTGACGGATATTAATGGATCCGCCGTCTCGTAGTTCACTTACATAGCATCCCCGATGGTTTACAAGCTGCGGAGCGGGGGTGGTAAACTCACCCTCACCGGCTGCCTCCCTAAGCTCACCTAAATGCTTTCTGGGTAGCTGTAACGCGCGCAACGACCATTACCGACCGCCCGACTCCTCTCCCTCTCTTTTCTGAAAACTGCTGTTAATTAACCGCTTCCTACCTCGACCTCTCTCCCTTTCTCTCTCTCTCTTTCTGTCTGTCTTTCTTTTTCTCCATAATTCACCATCCGGATAATGAAGCCCAAATCTTCTCGGAATTACCGAATGTAAATCTTAAACATATGATACGCTCCCTCGCTGGGTGCCTTCCTCTCACGCCGCAACGGCGATTGTCTTTTAGGTCGCTCAATGAGAACGAATTGTGCGCATTGTCGGTAAATGCATATTGTTGGTAAATGCAAGTCAGCAGCGCAAGTCGTTAACGCGCTGTCGGAGCGCAAAGCCGAATTCTCCTCCTGAGCCACGTGCTTCTCAAGTCACGCGTTTAATGAAACTATTCGCCGCGAATGCCGCCGTGGCGACAATTAAAATTGCACAGTGTGTCGATAACGACGCGTTAACATGAACGTAGTACGTTACAAGTAAAATCCCACACAGAAAATTTCTGCAGGATCTAATTAGGATCCAGTTCGATTTTCCAAAATAATTATGGATTCTAGTTGGAAAATCTACGCTGGTTCTTTGGTTCTGGTTCCGATTAAAAGTGCAATGTTTCAAACATGCGATTCTAAATAACAAACATATACAGTAAAAAATTTAGTGTAGATTAACATTCCAGTGGAATTTATGTATTATTTTAACAAGATGAATATGTTAAAAAGTAATATGTTAATAACATATTATGTGAATATGTTATTCACAGAATTTAATAATTTAATTTAATTTAATTTAATATTAATTTTATATATATTTGTGTACTTTTTAACATATTTCCATATTACAATAATTAAAATTTCAATCGACTAGAATCCATAATTATTCTGGACTTATTTACACACAATTTTTTATTATGTAAAGAGATCCTATTTATTTATTTAACAGATTTTATTTATTTATTTAATCTCATTTTTAATATCTTATTCTGATATTCAGTTAAACTGTCACTAGACTGTGACAATGATAGTCGCAGCGCACTGCCTATCAGCATCGCGGAAAAGAGGTTGTTCTACTTTAAGAGGTTGCATCCCATGTTTAGAAATAGGATTCCCAAATGATATCGCAACGGAATAACCCATTTTGGAACAACTTCGGACATTCTAATCTATATTGCATCTTGGAAAATCTATGAAAACTTCTGTGCGGGATGTTCTTTATCACTGTTCCCAAGTTTGCTCTCATCCATTTCAGATTGCTTTATTTTCCCATGGCGTTCGTAAACTTACGAGGGAAAAGTGCTGCGCGCACGATGTGTTCGCGATGTCGCCCAGAATAAAAATTTCGGGAAACAACGCTCAACTGTCGCGCAATAAAGCTCGTCTCCCGGTCGTTTCAACTGGACGCGAGTGTCCGCCGAGGACGATGCGATGCACTCGCCGCGCCGGAGGAAGATGCACGCGCGTGCGGTCACCGCCGCTGTCGCCGGAAATTTGCATCTCGCTCGGCCCCTTTCTTATTGCCGAACTTCCGCGCGCTTGCGACTCTTCCTCGCGAAATTTATCGCGCGACTAACACGAAAAGTGCCGGCCATCCGGTGACATTTGCATAAGCCTGTTAATAAAGAAATTTTAATTTTGAAATTAATTAAAAAACTTTTGAAATTTTCATACACAAGTCGGCGAAGACTTTAACTTTAATTAACACGTCCTCGAACGTGCGCGTAACGCGCGCGGAGGAGGGGGGAGGCGGTATTACATTATTAATTATTTTCGCGATGCTCGGCGCGGCGAAATCTGAAAATGCGGGAAATTCAGTCGCGTCGTACAAAGAGAATTTGCACTACCGCGCGATATTAGCTTAAAAAATGGCTATTACGACGCCGTATAAAGCTTAATGCAATCTCACGCTTTTTTATTTATTCTTTCTGCTTTTTGCCTTTTTATTTTGCATTCTTTTTTTCACACAAAGCACTGTCTAGTCGCGAATAATAAAACGGAATTAGAATTAAACTACGCTTTATAGCACGAGCACTTTTTTTGCATTTACGCTATAAAACTACTCGCGTTTGTCTTCTATTTGTTTCAATTTACTCCCGAGAACGCATGGAAATCTATTTCACGTTAATCTGCTCCGCCAGATTGCCGGCAGGAAAAAAGAAATCAAATTTTTTTCATGGATCTATGAATGTTACGATATACGCAAATTAAGAATTTATTGCGTCATCGACAAAAAATACTCCCTGCGTATTCGCGAAATAAAGATAAAAGTCATGATATCGGAATTAAGAGGTCGTGGATTTTTTTTTTTTTCTACGCATTTGGTGCCTTTTTCTGCCGGTACATCAATCAGAGTTGTGCGATTTATTTGCGCGTAAAGATCGTAAATCACGCGGGCGAGTCGAGCGACAGCGAGATTACCGGGTGTGGGCACATGGATTTCACGGTCCCAAAAGTGTGCGCGCAATTCACTGCCGACTACTTCTCGTGATTCTACGGCGTTCGAAAACTCGAAGGAGCGAGCCGGAATGAATCCTCGTAGCTCGAGGAAAAGCGGGAATTGAAATCGTCGCACAAGTGATCGATCGACCATGGATCGGGAGGGTGTGATCTGATTCTTGCGAGGGGGGAGAGAGAGAGAGAGAGAGAGAGAGAGCGGCAGTAAACAGTGATCTTCATTTGATTTCGCAAATACGAACAATATGAAAAATTGCGTGCGGGAAAATTCGACCGTAAACGCGAGCGTTATAAATCTACATCAGAGCCTATTAAAAAGCATGCAACATGAGCGCGCACGAGAGAAAAAAATATCAATTCATCGGCAGGAAGAGAGAGAGAGAGAGAGAGAGTGAGAGAGAGTGGGGAGGGAAGAGAAGGGACGAAAGAGAGTGAACTAAAACGTGCGAGGAATTCGAGAGGGGGCGTTATCGAGCGCGATAAATTATGAGAGCTTAATTGATCACTTATATAAGGCGGCGATGGCGGGGAGTAAGAAAAATTCAGTACTTGAAACGAGAAGCGGATCGCGCCGGACGGGTCTTATGAAACCTTTTTGTCATCAGAAGTAGAATCGCTCCTCGGCAAATAATATGGCCGATCTATCAGCTCGTGACGTTTTGCAATTTCTACGTAAATCGGTTTGCCCTGAAAATATTGACGCGCCTCCCGGACGTTCAAGGCGGACGAGTCCGCGCGATTCCAAACTCTTTCGAGGATTGCCCAGTCGTTAATTATCATCGAGGAGTGGGAAGCGGTTCGCACGCACACCGTGATGCACTTTGGAAAACGCCATCGTTCGTCTTCCTCCTCCCCACCTCTTCCTTCCGCACCCTGCGCCCCTGACGTCGTATTTAAATCGTCGTAAATAGAAACTTGCGTCACACGTATTCATCCCTCCGCTGCGGAACTTAGTTCATGCGAACATTAAGAGGTCCGCCATGAACCCTCCCTCGTTGTTTTGTAAGCTTCTGCAGTAACGACAATAGCAACACACAGCTCAAGTTAGCACGGTTCAGAATATAAATTAAGTTTTAAGTACAGTAGTAAACTGGGTCGGATCGAATCTAAGAAGTTTCTGGATTGCTGCAATGCACTGAGCGGAATTATTCGCGCCGAAGTCTTCGCAAGGGTTTCGCGCGCATTGGCGGGCGTTCATCCTTCGAAAACCAGATGCGTACGATGTGTGTGTGTGTGTGTGTGCGCGCGCGCGGCGAGACCTGAAGCCGCAAAATGTTCCTCCAACTGAGCGTTTACTCGACGCTAAATTAAGAAAATGGAGATTCTCGCAATGCCAAGATGCAACGCGGCAAGTTACCGAATTATTCACGAATGAACGTCGCATCGAGACTTCTCGGTGAAATAAACGAAGACATGAAGAGTGTATTATTATCGTTCATTCGGCACCGGTAAAGGATGTCGATGCGACTCTATTTCGGAAAAAAGATGCACTCGTTATCGTATCTTTTATCGGCAACTGCCCAACGTTTGAACGTTTCGAGCGTCTCTTCAACGAGGTCTAGCATTTCCATCTCATCATCATTCCGGCATTCACGTTTTTCTTCGTATAATTAATTAATCGATTGATCGCAGCACGATAACGTAAAATCAGCGTCAATAGTCTTCGGACATTTGCATAGAAATTTTCCCAAATTTTCCTATATGCGGCACAAATTCTAAATAGAATACCCAAAATTGTCCCAAAATAGGTTGTTTTATCGCGATATCAATTAGAAATTTCATTCTTATCCCAAAAATGGGATGAACCCTCTTTTCCACGATGCTGATTAGTGTTGTGCATTGCTACGTGTAACCGTTATCGTCCGAGTCGAATGACAGTTTGGCCAAATATTAAATTAGGAAGTAAACAAACGGGGTAACATTTTTAACGTTACCATATTTAATAGAGCACGCGTAGCGTATGTGTATGTCATGCACGGAGAAAGATATTTTGCTGGCACAGCAATTGTCGGTTACTACGGTGACGGCAAAAAAATTGATTACACGGAAAAAATATTAATACTTCGCTGTTTTGGCAAATCGTCGTTGAGACAGCAATAAAATTCAATTGGCATAACCAAATTATTTAACTGCCTATATATTCAGCAAACAGCAATTAATACTCTTGACAAATCTTTTTGCTGTCACCACAGTAGCTGACAATTTGCCTGCAAAATATTTTTCTCCGTGTATAAATGTAAATATTTAACGTGTCTCGCATATTTGATCCAATCGTAGTATAAAATGGAAACTAGAAATAATCTTTAGAAAAACATTGGGAATTAAATAGGATCTGTTTGTGCTTAGAATCATGTGTTTGAAGCATTACAATTTTAACCAGAATCAGCGCATATTTCCCAACTGTAATCCGTAATTATTTCGGAAAATCGGATTAGGATTCCAATTAGATCCCAAGGAATTTTCTACACGGATTCTTCGCGCGAGACGCGCTCACATTCGAGAGAAATCCATTCCAAGCGGTCGGCTCGCAACTGGACGCGGGACATTATGTAAATGCGTTTCTTCTCCGTGACGCAAAGACCACGGCTACGATCTCGCGAACAAAGTGGGAAATTTTTTGCAGCGTCGCGACGTCGGCGGCGACGAGCCTGTGTGTATGTAAACCAGGCGAACTTGGCCGGTCGGGGAAGTTTCAAGATTTTTATGGGACTTCCTCTTGCAAGGAAAAGCCCTTCGTCGTGCAACTCCCTGAGCGTCGCGCGCGCAGATCGTGCTTCAACGCAGAGCACGCGCGGAACTGCTACGACCAAAAGTTTGCGCCTCGCGGAACTTCAGTCTTGCAACGCGACTTGCAGTCGCGATAATTACGAACGCGGGCGTTACGACTTACAGCGCGCGATCGGCGGGACGAGATTGTGCGCCGTTACAGAACTGTTTCTTCCGTCGCAAACGCCCGTGTCGTCCGCGCCTTCTCGGCCATACATCGCGCGATAACGACGAAGTCGAAGCACTAGCGCCAGCGCGCGGCCATTCGCGCACTGACGTTACGCGGAAAACCATGCCGACGCAACAACATTTGCTCTCCCCCCCCNCCCCCCCCGTTGGAATTTCCATTCTAAAATATTACAGGACGCGGTCCTTCCGTCGTAACGTTGAATGCGCGCATGCGAGAGGGAAGAGCTTTCGCGGTCAAGCTCCCCGGCTCGTAGCAGCCGAGATGGCCTTTTTTATAGAGATTAGCTCTCACGGTAATAATGCGGTGAAATGCGCAGGTTCTGGTGAATTTCTCGGAGGAGCTGGACGACGAGGCCGGCGACGTGGCTGTGTTCGGTCAACCCAGCAGGAACAGCATGCCCAACATGTACACCAGCATGGACACCATTCACATGGACACGTTTTGAGTGCGCTGTTCGATCGAGCCAAGCTCCGGCGGCTCTTCGCTGGAGGACCCGTGGAGCAATTAGAATTAGCTTAAATTTTATGTCCTCCCGACAAAGCCTCTCTCTTGCTCATTCGTGCTCTCACGGCACACGCGCGTAGCGATTTTCGTGGCAATTGCTGTGATAGTTTGAACTTCTCGTTCGATGCCACGACGAAACGTGTAATATGAGCTTAAACAGGAGAAACGAGATAGAGAGGATGCACTTTGCGGTCCTCGCAGGCTTCGTCGGGGAGATTTTAGATGTTCATTCGCCTGTGGGCGACACGAATTTAGATCTGGGCCGAGTTCCTGAGAGGAGCAGATTTTAGAAATGCCCAGCGAGGCGCGAAACACAGCTCGACGCGGCTTCGGACCGAATCTGTAAATACTCCCGCGGAGACTTTATTTTAGCGAAGATTCCAGAGAGTTATTAGTATGCGTAGGAGAATCTCATTTCGATTAGTTCGTAAGGTTTTTAGAATTATGGAATTAAGGGAAATTTACGTACTTTTTTTTTTTTCAAAGCGATACGAGACAAACGCGGTCCTCACACCTTTATCTCGAGTGAGCTCGTGATCGAAACGAATGCGCGATAAATTCCGAGCGATACGCTCACCACGGGCTTCCGAAGGAGAAGAATGTCCTGCGAAGATGAGCAGAGCGGGAAATCGAAACTCCCGACTCGCCACAGACAACTGCTCTGTCGATTAACCTTCCGAGGGGCAATGTATTTTCACTACCTTCGGAGTGGCAACCAGGATCATTTGTGTCTTCCTCAATTTTTCTCCTTCAGAACTGTTCGGTAAAATCTCCAAAAATTACCGAAACTTCTTTTATCATTCTACTTGAAGACCATATACGCTGTTTTGTCAACGATAATTTGCTAAATACTGGATTTTCAATGATTTTGTTTTGAGAAACGAGCACTTCTCACAATAGCCTGGACACAAAAATGACTCTGGTTGTTACTCGGAGAGTTAAAATCTTGTTCATCGTTATTCTTTCATTCGTCTACTCAATTTTTTTTTTTAGTCTCTCGCTGCCTATATTAAAAACCAGATATTTCATGCGCGTATCGGTATATGATTACGTATAGTATATCGACGAATGTTTTATAATTAGATTAAAGTAATATTGGAGGAACAACTGTGCGTGTCGAGCGCGTAAATTTCTCATTAAGAAATTGATGAAATACAACTTTTTTAATTTAGCTAGTAGTACATTGGTTTCCATTTACTTCAGTACGCTTGCAGATAAATCCTTCGCAAGGACAAACATGATAAGACTCGAAATTTTAGATGTACATTATAACGCTACAAATTCCGTCAAACTTGAAGGACCAATGGAGAATTTCGAAATATAATATTATTCAGATTATTGATTTTTGACGATGCAAATCGTTTGATACCGTTTTATTGAGACTTAAAGGACTTATTTAGGAATTATTTAATATTCAATTGTTTCGATAGGGTCTCTCTTTATACATTTATTTAATCTTTCGTAATTTTTAATTTCAAAAAACAATATATTATATACATGTGATTAATTCACACATAACTGCAGGGAGAGAAAGTACTTTTTATGATAAGCAAATATAAAAGAGTTTAATAAAGATTAATAAATAAATTAGTAACTTGAATAACATTATTTTTTATAAATTTCAATAAAATTTGGAGGCTCAAAATAAATGAAAAAGAAGGAATAAGCCGCTGCATCCTGTTTCCTGAAGTGAAATCTTGATTGTCATCATCACCAAGCGCTCAATGATATCATATAAAAACATAACTCAATCGGAAACACTGTGTTAGTTATTAATCGTGTACAACTGTCCTGATAATTTCATAACTTATCACCTTAGCCACCTCATATGTTCGGAATGCTTTGAGGTAATCATCGTAATAGCGCTGTCGTGGCCGCCGATTATGCCTTGTCATCGATTGGCGGTTGGTGACTTTGCCCTTTCAAAGGTGACCATTGTTTTTATACTGTCAAGCGTCACGTACCATTTCATAACCGATTTATTACGCTTGAGTCAATAAGCGACACACGTATCGCGACGCATAGCATGTGTATCGATGAGTTATTCACGATTGGATGATAAAAATATCTCGTCGGCTATTTTGAAATATTTAACCGGGCTTTCGCCGCATCGCGTTAGTTGACACACGTTCCTCCGATCTAATCGTATTTAAGCGAGTGTCAGTGCTAATGTAACCACAAATGAGTGTTTGAAATTATGGAGCATTTAAGAGCAAGATATTAAAAAGAACACCGAAGACGTAGAACATCAGGATAGTAATATATTTACAGGTGTGTCGAATTATTATTAAATAAAACGTTTCCGATTTTAACGGGCATTTGACGAACGCCGAATATAAAAAAATACCCGAGTCGAAATTTAGAATCTATTTTAAAGCTGGCATTTATAGTTATATAGTCACGTATGGTCTGTCATTGTTTGATAAATAATCATAATTGAATCTTTATGAATCTTTAATTATTCATTAATTCGTAATACTTTTTTTCACAACAAAATATATGGATACAAACAGCTGAATAATCATCCATGAATACAAATTTATTATTAATTGCGCTCCCAATTTAAAATCGTAAATCATTTAAAACTACAAATACCGGCCTAAAACCCGTGTTAATAATTGTTACTTGTAATTCGTTTCAGATGAGATAGTCGGATTTGAATTCGAGGTTAAATATGAGTTTTTCTATTAACACAACATGACAGCGACAACTATTAATACCGATCTAAGTTTCGCAGGCGTGCTCTGAAATTAGTTTTTCTAATAATACTCGTTAGAACGCGAATCCAATTTGTAGCATCAAGATTTATTACGACAATAATCTGTATAGTGTTACATCTTTATATTCCCAATTGACCCTTTTAAGTTCGATGAAACTTGCAGGGGATTAATGTAGAGCTCAAATTTCGACTCTCGGAAAACGCGAGACGGCGGCGAATCGCGCTGACGTCGCCGCTTTCACTCGTACTTCGCGATACGTTGCCACACGCCGACGGGCGGCTACAATTTTCGCAAACGGGGAGTCCCACAAGCACGGATACTTCCCCATCAATTTCCGCCGAAGGCGATTATCGACGAGTACGTTTGACACGCCCGGCCGACTGGTTAAATATTGCCAACGGTGAGAGAAAACCGTATGTGTGCGGGAATGGGATGTGGAAGAGGAGCCCAGGGCTTTTATTTGTCCCGGGCCACGGCGCGAGACGTCGATTCACGCGGAGAAACACGAAGATCGATGTTTGCGCGTCGCGAATGGCGCAAAATTGAAAGGAGACGCAACGATAAAGCGTGAAACGGCGGAATTTATTGCCACGGTCCCCCGTATAACCGAGCACCGTGGGGGCGAGAATGGATAAAAAGACAGGCTTCCAGTGAGCTGCGTATATCGGGTGTCCTCTCCAGCTCGCTCACCGCGAGTACTTCGTGTGCCGAAAATCTCAGACTTATCCATGGGATTCTTCTTGACTGAGGAGGTGTCGTCAGCTTCGCGTGCGAATAACGTCGAGAGGAATCGTCGTCGCGCGGGAATCGGGCTTCGTCATTGTCGAGCTCGCACGTGAACGATAAGAAGCGCGGACAACTTCCGGACACCCTACGTGTACCCGGTTTTTCACCTTCTCCCTCGTCGACACCTCTCTCTTTTATCTCTCCATCGCACTGTGCACGGCCCTTCGACGTTGCTAAATTTTCCGCCCGCCATTTTCGTCGGTCGCGGCGCATCTTCGATGAAACTTTCGTGCGAAACGTACGCGGCTCCACGGTAATAAGGATGAAAATTTCGACATTGCGGATTATAGCGGTAAAATGAGAAAGAGAGAGAGAGAGAGAGAGAAAGTGTGTGTGTGTGTGTGTGTGCGTGCGTGTGTTACGTTATCTCTCACATGCGAACAGACTTTTCTTCGCGCTCTCCTCGGCACCAATGGTCGCCGTAACATCCGGGCGGTTCCCGTCGAAGTCTACGGGAATGACTGAGCCGCTATAAAAAGCGGAAGAAAGAGCGTAAACGCGCGAACGTATACTTCGCAGATCACTGCGGACAAATCGAAGGAGCGCGGTCTCTCGCGCGAGAATCGACTGAATTTGCTTGCGCATCAAATGCCAAAGCCCCGGAACGATTTTCATCGAGGTTCTCCGCTGGCGCGCGTCCCGCGCGATTAATTATCGTTCATCTCGCCGAAACATTTCATTTGGACATTTTATTCGGATTAGGCGCGTAATTATGGCTGTTACGAGAAAAGCGTGAGATGGTGCGCTAGAACGCTTTCATCGTAGGGCGTGTTCGTGGGTACAGAACGCGTTAAAGAGAAGTTTAGCTCGATCGTCTACGTGTTCGGAATAACTGGAAGCTCTCCCGAAGGCTGGCCGGCAGGGCCGAAGGGCAGGAAGAAAGAAAGGAAGGGAAAGATTAAGCCGCCGTAATTCTGCACGATACGACAGCATTTAACTCTNCCCCCCAGGCGGGATCAGGTGGGCAAGGACATCGAGGAAACGAATCGCGGTCGATTATGCCCGCACGAGGAGAAATTGTAATCCTCGCCGGCGATATCTCCGGTGTTACGCAAAAACGCTGCGTTTCGACGTTTCACGTGCCAAACGCGAACGAGATATAAAAAAAGAAATTTCATTTCCCCGTTTCTTGAGAATCTAGTTTAGCGGGTAGCTGTTTTAAAGCACGATTTGTAAATCAACTCGAAGTAGAGAAAGAGAGGAAGGGGGAAAGAGAGGGAGATCAAAGATAGCTTCTCGTATATCTAGGTAGCTATTGGTGATAAATTTAGAGCTTTCTGGCGCACAGCCTCGATTCCTACTTTACGCTTCGAACGGACTTCACTTTGCGGGAGATTACGCGAGATCCGCGAAGGGGAGGAACCAAAGGAGGTTTTCACTAGTTTTATTCTAATGAGCGTTATATACATTAAATAGTACGGCAATTTTGCCGAAAAGTACGACGGCTAGTAGAATTTAGGTAGAAATTTAAAACGGAGGCTGGAAAGGCTCTACACAATTTTTCTCCGTTATTATGTAAGTCCTACACAGAAAATAACACTCGTACGATTTCGAGCCAGTTTTATAAATCCATCTAACTAAGCTCTATACATAGGACTGAGCTCTACGAGCCACGTGTCTTATTAGGGGCATCCACGTCAATGTGTCTATTCAGAGCTTATCGACGAAATTCCACTTTCAGAATTTGTCTTTCTAGACCATATCTAGGTTCAACAGAGGTAGGCCTATTTTGGGACATGCCTATACAGGGCCACATATAGACTTGGGGCACACCCCGATTAATTTCTATCCGAGTATCTTATCGTAGTCGTATTATCCACTTTATAATAATAATAATAGCTTTATTGCGTGCTGGATATGTGCGGGATGCGGTATACTTTCATACATGTGATAATATCGAGTAAACAACACGCAATGGGCGAAGTAAAAACATGAACTTCTACTTGGCCAAGATAAAAGGTTGTAAAATAGTAGCATGATACGAACAATTAAGCAAGATATACATTTGAAAATTAGCAGTACAACGTAAAAATTACGTCTACTATACGCAGTGACGGCCTTTCAGAAGGAATGTGAGAAGGATAAAGAGAGGATGTACAATAAAAAAAAATGCGTTAAATTTAACACGTTTCACATATCCCAAATGGTCCATTCAAGTTTTGTGTTAAGTTAATACAACGTAAATACATTGAATACGTTGAAAAGTAACAAATCTTATGTAAAAATTAATACAAAATTAATGTATTAATCGATATTGAAATATAAAATTATTATTTTTACTTTGTCGATTTTGTCGATTTAATATATATATATATATATATATATATTAAATCGACAAAACACAAAATGTTGAAATAAACACAACATGTTAAATTAACACACGGATATGTTAAAAATTTAACACAAAAATGTTAACAAAGCCTGATTAAAACACAAGTGCAAAATAATTTTTACCGTGTGAGAGGGACTCATGGATAAACGCGGAATCTTACAGAATTACGCGCTTGGACTAAAAATGAAAATGTTAACACTTTACCGACCGCTAGCGTTTCAACAGCATACGCACGTCCGACTGGCCGCTCGGCCACAAATCCTGCCTGGCGCCGGCTCTGTTTCGGTTTAGACTGTCGCGCGGGAGTATCTGTGCTTTTCGTATGCTCAGATAAAATTGCCCGCTTTCTGTTATTATAGGATAATTAGATTTAATAAGTTCTTTTATTTCGATAATATTAATGCTAAATTATATTTATTTTATCTATTACAACGGTTTTCAGTTAAATAGTTATATAATATACCATAATCCATATATTGACATACTTCAAATAAGAAATAGTTTAATATTTTTTTTTAAGTATGATATCGTTCAAAACAGTCGCCTTTATGTAGTGGAACATTGCAAAATTTACAGACAAAACATGTTCTACTTCTTTTTTTTTAACTGCACAAACTCTACATTGTCTTTGAGGTTTTACACTTCGACCGCTGGTCACTATATTTATAAGTTTATGTTTTCCGAAATTCCACAGTCTTCCGGGATGGTCTAATCTGGGTGTTCTTCTTGTGGGTTCAGAATTTGGTAGATCGTCATCTTGTTCTGTACAATTAGTTTCACAATCTTCTATCCACGAAACTGCCACTTTGTGCAGGAAATTCTTGTGCGTAATATTTTTTTCCGTTGAGAACTGTGTATGCTTTAAATGAATTGAAAAGTGCACAGTTGATAAAAAATATTACAACTCGTTTAGTCCATTTTTTTGTTTCTCTAAAAATGGAATAATACGATAGATATTGGTCCGCGCGATCTACGACCTTCATATATTTGTTATAATTTACGATTGAATTGAATTAGGCTTCTGTATGGGATCGTATGATCTTTTACTTCTGTTTCTGGATTCCGTTAATTGTGCAGAATGTATATTTGAGATCATATTGACGTTTCTTTTGCCATTATTACATACTTCCACCAAAATTTGATGATTTCTACGAAATTCATACTGGCCTTTTGAAGGTTGTATTGTTTGGAGTGATCGAGGAAGACAAAAAGCCGATTAATAGGCTAGCGGTCGGTGAAGTGTTAAACATCCTACACAGTTATATACACACATCACTGTTTCGTTATTGATTTTTTTCCCGATCGATCGATCGATCCTGTTTTCGTCAATCCACCGTGTATTATGGTGCACTTAATCCGCATTTCTCCCTTTGTCCCGCCGTCATTAAATTTTAATGTCGCGTGTATACGTTTCTGCTTTGCCAACTGAGCCTCTTAAACCGAATCGGCATAATAATGGAATAAATTTAGCTAA